ATTTGAATTTTACAATGTTTGCACAAGAAGAATACTACTGACAAACTATAAATGTAGCGCCAAATATAGAACAGAAAATGAGTTCCTCATATAGACTAATTTGCGTGGAATGTTGATTGAAGTAAATTGAAATATTTCAGGCCCAAAAATGAAATTGTTAAATTCCACCGGCATTTGAAAGATAATACTATTTTAAATCTTTCCTCAAAACGAAAGGGCTTGAAATGTCTTTGTGTGGGAAAATAACGACCGTTAGTTGTCGTATCGACTTTAGGGATTGCAATCCGTTTGGTAAATAGTCTGATTTGCATAACCTTGTATTGAATAGTGTACGTTTCGTGCTGCGCAAAGATTCAGTCAGCTTAAACAATGAACGTATAGATTGAAATGAAATTAGGTCTATGTATTTTTACAGAACTTTCAACAAGATCTGAAGAAAAAAAAAAGATAATGTAAACGAGTAGTAAGTTCTGCGATAGAACAATCTTTCACACACTTGACATATAAACAATGATGTAATAATACAATGATATATGGATTGATGTAAATTGATTGTTAGTGTTGGTAAACACAATGTAACCTCTAAACAAATGACAAATTTACTATTGACAATAACAATGCATTTTGCAAGATCTCACTTTTGAGTTGGTCCCATATTCGGGTGTATACTGCACATTTCATCATTGCATAACCACTACAAATGGGCATCTTTGTAAAGGGAAATAAAGTACTAGGCTTTTGAATGATACCAAATTTGAATATGATAATATAGTAACAACAAAGACGGTAACGCTCAAACTGGAATTGTAGTTACTCTTTGCCCGGCTGGCAGAAGGGCGTATAGCACGCGAGGGACTCAATAACTACTTTTCTAATCATTGGCATTTAATGTGCTTTCCGTTCCGAAAATTGGTTTAAAACTTAAAAGACGAATAGAAATGTTATAGTAGAACACCGCCACAATTTCTGGGTGGAAAATAAGTCAGTTCTTATAAAAGTTTGAGGTGATTTAGTGCTAACGCCCTTCTGCTTAGCGCTTTATTTTTTTACCTGAAATTCGAGCTAACGCCCTTCTACCAGCCACTAACATTCACCAAACAAATAAAAGGCTAGACACCACTCTAATGTACATATAATAATGCGCTCTTTTTAATATTCATAAAAAAGATATTTATCATATAATAATCTGAATATCTGTACAACTTTTGATATACATCTACATGCATTTTCATAACATACATTAAGTATAAAATGGAGGTGCACTGAATATTCGCAAGGAAATTCAACCCTTTGAATTAATTCATTTACATGCTAGCAGATAAATGAGATAACTAAACTGAATGTTTAAAGTTTGAAATAACTATATTGGACCAATAATAAGGTAGGTATGACTGTTTGATATAAGAAATGACTAAATATATAGGTGCAAATCTCGAATTGGCAATTTGGTTGGAGCATTAATAATTATTTCACTTTAAGTTGTTCTCTCCATAATTATAATATAAGGTACTAAGAATGCCAATAATATTCATCCCCCATTTATTGCATCTCAATAATGGAATGAAATAATATGAAATTCATATTTACTACATTATCAACCTCTCCAAATACCTTCCTTCCAGTTTATTTCATAACGCAATCCAGAATTTATCTATACCGGTAAGTTCCTCTACTTTGTTTCAATACAGCCCATCACAAAACCAAACAGCGTATTTTGCTTCTGTTTCGCGTAGCTCAGAAAACAGGGTAATACTTGTCATGGGATAGTTGTTTATTGGGGGATAATGACACTGGTTCAAATCAGTTGGCAAGACACTTAACGATATTTGCCACTCTTTACCCAGTAGTATATGATCACTTTATGTAATTACACAGTATAGTGCCCTATAACCCTTTGGCAAGATATTTAACTACATTTCAACTATATTTACCCAGAAGAATACAGTTACTCGGTATAATTACACAGTAGACTAGAGTGTTCTATAACCCTTGTGCAAGACATTTAACAATATTTGCCACTCTTTACACAGTAGAGTGTCTTATAATTGAGATATCCCTTGTGACAGGCATTTCACATTTTTTATTTTTTTTTATTCAGAACCCTAAAAATATACCCAATGCTTGGGCTAGAAAGGTTACAAATTTTTGCACACACTGCATCCATTTGCATGCCAGGAAACAAAAAATAGCTTTGAGACCCTCAAATTGGCAACACATTGACATGTTCAAAATCATAGCTGTTTGATACAAATTTGCAAAATGTTCACAAATTGTTTACAGAAACAGTGTAGCAATAAATGAAAAATTTAAATGAAAAACAAAAATACAGTTTATCTTCATTTTATGTATATATCTATCCTATTTTCATTTCCTATTTTTTTTAGAAAAGGAAAACATTAGAAATAATCCCATTGTGCAATATACACAAATCACTACATGATATATAATTATGAATGCCCACATTCATACACAGTCATTTCGTACATTCTTGCTGAATTTAAACTCACAAATGGAACTAATTTTTCGAATTGGCAACAAAGGTGTTCCTTGAATAAATGCTGTCCTGCAAGATTTTGGCATTTTGTTTCGAAAAAAAAATAAAATAAAACAAGTCACATCTTTTTTGTAATGGTCCCTGATAACAAGGGGGTAAGGAAATTAACTTTACTAAGTCTGCTAAATCTAATGCTGAAAGACAATATTTTGGTGTACTCACAAATTCATTGGAGTTTCTTTTGAGGTAAACAACAGGTCAAAGTTCACAGGTACCTAACACTGAAAGCCTTCTCCAAAGAGCATGTGTCCTTTGGAGAATGGCGACAGCCTATGAGACTGACGATTTGGTCTAGCGAACCTTTTGCCATGTTATGTTATAAAATGTGTAATTATGCTGTGTCATGATCTTTGTTAATGTTAAAACAATGGAATAAGGAATTTCTGTTGGATGACAAATGAATCATATATTCAATTAAAGGTCGCCTCAGCACATGCTCACAAAAGAATTGCATTCTTTCTTACAACACCCCCACAACACACCCCTACAACACCCCCACATTACCACATTCTTTTCCTGTGATGCTACAGCACGTCTGCCATAGCAAATCCTATGTGGGCATTGTATGGTCTATTGTAAAGAGGTGTTCAGCTCTGGTGAAGCTACATACCACTGTCTCTTGTTAGCTCACTAATGATTGACAGATGATGTCACAAGATGAATGAGATCTGGAGCACGTTTTTTAGGGTGGAGCTAAGCAGGTCTGACATTTTTCTTTGTATAAATATTTTAAAATCAATGAAAGATATTTAGATGTTTGAATAACAAAATATGAGATGTATGTAGCCCTGCACATCAACAGGAATCAAGTTATATTTCGATGTCACCCGACCTTTACAATTAATTGGCAGATCTTTGAAGGCAAGAAGTCACAAGTCAACTTTCTTCATCAGGGCCCTGTTTCACAAAACTTGTCATCAGTGACAAATGACAGTTTTTGTTATAAGCTACTGAAATTCTTGCTTCTGATTGGTTATCAGTAGATTTGTCACTGATATTTGTCATCTGTGATTGAAAAAGAAGGCTTTGTGAAACACCCTCCAGGGGGGCGTTTCACAAAAACTTGTCATCAGTGACAAATGACAGTTTTTGTTATAAGCTAGTGAAATCCTTGCTTCTGATTGGTTCTTGGCAGATTTGTCACTGATATTTGTCAAAAAAGGCTTTGTGAAACACCCTCATTCAGGAAGCTCCTCCTAACGCCTCGACCTGGTCGTAATCCTCCTCTTCATCGCTGGCAAGATCATCCCCATTCTGCGAATGCCGCGGAACAAACTCTGCTCTGATGGCCTCAAGCTCGTCAAGTTGTTGCTTTAAAAAAAGGGGGACAAAAAGAAGAAGAGAGAATGAAAGTAGGAACACAAAGATTCATGTGCATGAACTGGGATTGAGAATGCTGCAGAAATAATTGTGGTATGATAACGTCAAGATGTTGCAAAAAAAAATGAAAAGAGGGGGGGGGGGGAAAGAAGATAATGAAAGTAGGAACAAAAAGATTCTTCTGCTTGAACTGTGACTAAGAATGTTGTTGCTAAAAAAACATTAAAAGGGGGGGGGGGAGAAAGAAGAAGAGAGAATGAAAGTAGGAACACAGGATTCATGTACATCAACTGTGATTGCAGTACATCTGGATATCTACATGTATAAACAAATATTCCCAGAACAACAACCACTATGTCTAAGAGAAGGCTAAATTCCCCACCAAAACAATTGATGACATGCATGGAGTATTACCCTATTATTTTTCTTTTCCAACACAGACTCTGCTCTGAGAGCCTCCAGCTTATTAGGTCGTTGCCAAAAAACGAGTCAGAAAAACAGAAGAGAAATGCAAGTAGGAACATAGATGAATCCATCAGACGCTGAAATCTTGTAAACTGGCATTGGTTGTACAGCTGTGGACTCACCCATTGGCTTATTGTGTTATTCAGACTTCAAAGTGTGCTGCATGCATAACTGATTCTTTTGTTCTATGGTCCATTTATCAGTCATGTTCTTGCCACTTCAGTATGTGAGGAATATTGGCATGTTGGGAGAGATTTTACATTTTTCCTTTTTTTTATAGTTTGGTATGTACTATATTTGACACTTTATGGGTTAAACAAGCATGAAGTGTGATTGAAGGAAATAAACATGTTCATGCACATCCTGAACTACCGGATATAAATAGAGTTCTTTCCTTTTCAAAACGAACTCTGCTCTGATAGCCTGCAGCTCATCAAGCTGTTGTTAAATAGAAAGAAGAAGAGGGATGAAAGAAGGAAATACATGTACTGTAGGTTCTTGTGCATGAACTGTGGTTGAAGGAAATATATATCTTGCACATCCTGGATTACCGGATATCTAAAAACAGGCATTCTCAGAAATACAACCCCCCAAAGAAAGCTAAACAATTGCCTACCAAAAATCTGATAACATGCATCAATTCCCTTTTTTTTCCTTTTTTCTTTCTTCAAAACTAACCTTGACATGTGCTCGATGGATGGTTCTCTTGTTGTTGATATGTCTCCTTGGAAATGGATTAAGCTCATCAAAGGCAATCTGATGGAAACAGAGAAAAACAAATCAAACAGTATTATGAAACAAAGACTAGACCATTGGTTGTTATATGATATCAAGTTAATCTGAATAAAAGCAGAACAATTAGTGAAACAGATGAAAGAAAGTTTATGTGAAATTCTATTAATTTGGAGAGGAGCTCGCAAGATTTGTCAGTGTTGCCAATTTTTGTTTCACTGGTGACAATTGAAAGACACCACCTTTAAAGCCAGTCTGCACTTGTTTGACAAGGGGGATTAGACCTCCCTCCAAGGTCACTGACAGGTGGGTATCTCATCAACTCAGCTCTAAATTTACATAAGAAAAAAGGGATCATGGGGACCAACATGCACTGATTAGGCATTGTTTTCTATATAGAGAGCGCAAGTAGCTATAAGTAGTGCAGTGGGGCTTTAAGACCATTTTCTAGTGCACCTAATGCTACATTTCTAGGCAAGGGAACAGTCTAGGTTTACCTGCGTAAGTTTCTGTACATCTGTCAGCATCTCTGGCATTCGTCGTAGGACGGCAAAGATCCTGAGGTAATCGTTCTGTTTCAGCAGTTCTTCCTCAAAGATCTTGAACGCAGCCAGGGAGTATCTAAAGAGAACTTTGTTTCCCTCCGACAAAAATGTGTCCCAGATTCGAAGCATCGTCTAAATAAAAGGGAAAAAAAAGGAAGAAAAAAGGATTTCATCAATGCCTTATTCAACTTTTACTGTTACAGACCTTCAATTGAGAGCGATTGATAGCCTTGTCAAAAATGAAAAGAGAGTGAATGCTGCCAGAGAGAACTCTGTTTCCATCCAACAAAAACGTGTCCCAGATTCGAAGCATCGTCTAAATCAAAGGGAAAAAAAGGATTTCTCAAATGTGTTATTCAACTTTTAAAGATGTGGACCTTAAAATTGAGAGCGATTGATAGCCTTGTCAAAAATGAAAAGAGAGTGAATGCTGCCAGAGAGAACTCTGTTTCCATCCAACAAAAACGTGTCCCAGATTCGAAGCATCGTCTAAATCAAAGGGAAAAAAAGGATTTCTCAAATGCGTTATTCAACTTTTAAAGATGTGGACCTTAAAATTGAGAGCGATTGATAGCCTTGTCCAAAATGAGAGAGAGTGAATGCTGCCAGGGAGTATCTGAAGAGAACTTTGTTTCCCTTCGACAAAAACAAGTCTCAGATCTGAAGCATTGTCTAAATCAAAAAAGAAAGGAAGAAAAAGGATTTCATCCATCGTTATTCAACTTTTACAGATGTAGACCTTCGAAAATGAGAGCAATTGAAAGCCTAGTCTTTGATAAATCACAAAAGAATAGAGTCAACAGTGCCAGCGAGTCCAGAAGAGAATGTTGTTTCCCTCCAACAAAAACGTGTCCCAGATCAGAAGCATCTTCTAAATAAAAGAAAAATAAGAATCAGGAATTCATCAACATGTTATTCAACTTTTACAGATGTGGACGTTCTAATTGACTGCAATTTTAAAGCTGTCTTCTGGCCATGCTATTGCATTGTAAAATAATCTGACTGGAAGAAATTGGAAAGGATGATTATACAGCACTTACGAACTGGTGTGTAGTGTGAGGTTTAGGAACAATCAAAATGATACAAAACTTACTCAGTGTATGGGACTACACACGCATCACATCACAATAATGACAGTATCCAATGCAAAGAATAATACTGATACATGAATACATAAGGGGAGCCTTCCAAAGTTGCGACTGTGCCCGGACGCGTCGGGGCGCGATGAATAGAACAGTGGCGTCCCAAGAGACGCATTGAGGCGCAAAGGGGCGCGAAGGGGCGCAATAGTCACCCTCACCTGATTCTTGCATATGAAAGAAACCGTCTATTGTTAGTATAAACCCGCTCTATTCTTCTTGCGCCCTTTTGCGCCCCACCAGGCGATGGAAGATTATCTCTCCCGTCATTGTTCTCGCTCGTGATGCGCGGTACAGCTTAAACTTGATATCCAGAAAGTATTTGTCGGCCAAAGCCTGTCTTCCCCTCCTCCGGTTTTCGTTCTGATAAACTTTCCATTGTTTGTAAAAAAAAAATGATGTATTCTTCTCGCGTCGCGATCTATTCTTCTCGCGCCGTTTTGCGTCGTAACGGGCGGGGTATTACCTTTCCAATCATTGTGGCGAAGCTTTGCAATGTACATTACTACAGCACAGCATGAACTTCTCTGGTGAGATCGTCTTTGTTTTGGGGGGGCAATCAACACACTCGTTCATCTTGATCAGAATACATTATGATTTATTTTTGTTGGGTTTAATACGCCTCCTTTTAATTTTTGTGACGACTGTATGAAATGTGAAATAAAGATGACTATGTACGATTAATGGTTGTTTAATTGCGAGCTTAATTGTCCCAACAACAAAAATAAAAGACGAATGATGTGAATGACTACATGTATGCGGTTATAGTCGGCAAATTGATTACTGTTTGGGTCGCTTGTGTATGTTTGTAATTTGAATGATTATCAACATATTTGTATAATTCCCACATCGCGATATGATTCTAGCGTCGTATAATGGACAAAGGAATTATCTTTCTCTCTCGTCATTCATATTCACGCTACGCGTTGCACATCGCCACAGCCTGAGCTTGGAAGAATTTATATTTTGTCAGTCTAATCCTTTTTTTTTTCTCCTCCCATGACTTGGTTCTAATAAATTGAAGGTTTGCTTATTAGGGATAAGAAGGATAACATCAAACAAACGATTTACTCAAGATGACGCTCTTTTCATTTCACCTCGCTGTTTGATAAAGTAGAGTTTTACGGAGCGAATACAAAAGAAAAGTTCGCTCTAAGGCCAAATAAAAGTTTTTTTTTATTAGTGTCCTGTTTTTTCGAAAACTAGGAAGGAGGAGGCCCTCTCTTTTCTTTTCTTTTTCTTTCAAAACGGCCGCTCAAAATGGCCGCTCGGTACATTTTCCCTGACAGTCGGGCTATTTTTCAAATGGCCGCCGACATCTTTTAACTTTTTAAAAAAATCAGTAATAGATCCATTTTAGTATTGTTTTTCATATTATTTCCCAAAAATAAAAAAAATAGGAGGCGGCCCCCAAAAAGGAAGCAGGCGGGGACGCTAAACATGTATATTTTGTTAAGTGGCCTCAGGGAAAAAAAAACATAAAATGCCGTGGCAGGATTTCACGCCCGAGATATGCCTTCGAAAATTGCCCGTCCAAAAGGCGTTTTAAATCATAATAATTCCATAGCTCTTTTTAAAAGTGGAATAAATAGAAAAAAGAGTCCGGGAACTATATCGAGATTATAAAACATGTGTGTCATGAAGATGTAAACAAAAAAGTGTAGCCTGATGGTGATAAAGTTGAGCAGCAATTGGAAATGCAATACAAAACATTAATCAGTTCATGATGATAATTAATCATTCCACACAACATTCGAATCATTTATTCGTAGATTTTTATAATTAAGTGGCGAAAGTGAAATTTTGAAATCTTAATGCACAGATACAAAAAACATACCAAACATGTTTTGATTCTTATTCTAAAAAAAAAAAAACGGCAAATTTTAAACGATCTTTTTAAAAGGAGGGAGGCGCTATAGCCCAGTGGTAGAGCAGAGCAGCTCGTAACCGGGAGCTCCCTGGTTAGAAACCAAGTCGATATGCTATTGTAAGGCATAACTCAACATTACATTTCGTTCGGAGAGGATCTTAAAGCCCCAGTCCCATATAAAGCCGGACCAGCACGGACGAGCACGGACCACTCCGGACCATCCCGGACCATGGTCTGGGGTGATCCGGGATGGTCCGGGATGTTTTGTTCAAAAAAGTGTGATGCTTTTAAAGCTACAGTCCCATATACGTCCCGGACCGTCCCGGACCATCCCGGACCCCATCCGGGGTGATCCGTGTTGACACCGTGTTGGCACCGGGTGGTCCTGGATGGTCCTGGATGGTCCTGGATGGTCCTGGATGGTCCTGGGCGGTCCGGGAGTCGACCGCGGATGTTTTTGACGGTCAAAACTGCCGGGGTGGTCCGGGACGGTCCGGGACAATAGTTTGATCCGGGGTGATCCGTGTAGCCACCGTGCTGGGTCCGGGGTCGTCCGTAGTGGCGCCGGGGCGGTCCGTGTTGATCCGTGGCAGTCCGGGAGTGAGTTATTGACCATCCAGGACCATCCAGGACCATCCAGGACCACCCCGGTGCCAACACGGTGTCAACACGGACCGAATCCCGGATCACCCCGGATGGGGTCCGGGATGGTCCGGGACGGTCCGGGACGTATATGGGACTGTAGCTTTAAAAGCATCACACTTTTTTGAACAAAACATCCCGGACCATCCCGGATCACCCCAGACCATGGTCCGGGATGGTCCGGAGTGGTCCGTGCTCGTCCGTGCTGGTCCGGCTTTATATGGGACTGGGGCTTTAAACCCGCCGGTCCCCTGTTTGCCTAATTCAGAGCATACACATGCTTCATATAGCAGTCAGGAAAAAAAAGCGAACGGTACAGGAAGCTACCTTTTATGGATAGGCCTAAATTGAAGGTTTGGCTTAACTAGGGAGAACAAGGATAACATCAAACAATAGATCTACTCATGATGACGCTCTTTTCATTTCACCTCGCTGTAAGATAAAGTAGAGTTCTATGGAGCGAATACAAAAGAAAAGTTCGCTCTAAGGTAAAAACATAGAATGCCGTGGCAGGATTTCACGCGACTATTGTTTGATCGCTATAATTGTCCGACTTGCTATAGATTCTTGTTTAGCTACACATATGTGTGTGTGTGAGAGAGGGGGGCGGCGAAGTGAACGGCCGGACCAAAATGGCAGAGGTCAATCAGGAGGGCTCCGCTCGCTAGTTATAAGGACCGCTAATTCATTGGACAACTATTCATGAAGACCGCTATTCGTAATTTGAGAACATGGTCATTATGTATAAGGGTCATGAATTCGTAATACGACATCCCCCCTCCCCAAAACTAAATAAATAAATAGAAAACATGAATAGATTAATAAACTTAACTAATGATACAATAACAAATAATGCCCGGTAATTGGGAATAGCCGCCTATGAGCGGAACATTGGGCGCAACAACTATTAGCTGCTCAAAGAGCTGTCTTTTGTCATTGCGTTGCAAAACAAAGTGCTTTTAAAAGTTACATGTACTATAATATCCGTATGCTATATAACACCCAATGTGAACATGACGTGTTCAGGCCTTATAACTATATACAGTGCACGTTAAAACAAAGACTTTACTAGCGCTAGCTAACAAATATGAAACGTCAAAACGTCACGAACATTGAAGATAACAAATTGTTAAGACAAATGACACCACCAATAAAGTTTCTTCGCGAAGAAATATTCGATCGAATTTCATGTTTGGAACAGATAGGCGATTTCGAATTGTTCAATCTACCGAAACGTTTTGATGATGCAGGCTCCCGACAATACGACTATCATTTGTGTAATATCTTTAATTTGCAGATGTTTGTTTGTTTTGTATGACATATTTATAAACGCCCTATAATCTTATTTCAAGCAGAATCTTTCAATCTCTTTGATTATAAGTATCATTTTTAAATCACGGGTATTTAAATACAATAGCTGATTTTGCGAAGATTTAGAGAACCTACGTTTCTATTCTTTAAATCGATCTTGCATGAGAAAGAACAGAGTGATGATATAGATATATGACCTATTTTGATCGGATGACAGAACAAAATAAATGTAATATGAAACAAATAATGTGTCAAAACATACAGAAGGAATACAATTATACATATCGTTTTTGTTTTGTTCGTGAAGAAATTAATATAATACAAGTAGTGAACACATTAATGAACAGAAATGAACAATCATAACAACGTCAACGCCTACACAACTTCGATATTTGGGAGGAAAATAACAATCAGAACAACAATCTAAATCAATGTCTTGTACGTAAAATAATAATAAACATATCAGTAGCCAAAGTGAAAATTTTAGAGTCAAATCTTTCAAGACGAGAGCGGACACACACGGGGATTACATGAATAACTAATGCGTAGGAACGGGCGCGAAAGCTTTTCAAATTCACAAATTCACAATTCACAAAAAGCGCTTCGCCTTTAAGCGCACCCCTCCCCCCCCCCACCCCGAATGAGTGTTATGTAGGGTACGCAGGCGCGTACGCAGGGGGGGGGGGGTTTGGGGGGTTAAACCCCCCCCTTTGGAAATTTTTGTGTGTAAACCCCCCTAAAAAAAACCTAAAACCCCCCCCCCCCCCCCCCCCCCCCCTTTTGGATTTTTTTTTTTTTTTTTTTTTTAATTATTAAAAAAAAAAAAAAAAATATTCCCATGGCCGACCTAAAAAAGGTGACCTTACCCCCCCCCCCCAACGGAGCAAAATGTCAAATTTCCAAATTTCGAGACCAAAAAAAAAAAAAATGTGTCCTCTTACCCCCCCCCCCCCCCCCCCCCCCCCCCCCCGCTTATTCAGCGGTCGGCTGAGCCGTTGCGATTTTTTTGGGACCAAAAAAAAAAAAAATGTGTCCTCTTACCCCCCCCCCCCCCCCCCCCCCCCCCGCTTATTCAGCGGCTGGCTGAGTCGTTGCGAAATTTTCGGACCGATTTATAAATGTTAAAACCCCCCCCTTGAAAAAATCCTGCGTACGCGCCTGAGGGTACGCATATGCATTTTCCCTCCTTTTGAAAACAGTCCCCTAAGTCCGGTGTGTAAAGTCAATACGGGCCGGATTTGTGTGTACTAGACGAGCCGGACTTTGGTGCGTAAAAAGTACCCCTTTACCAGACAGTAACAATGAGTCTCCAAACAATAGCCAGATTTGATATTCATATTATGAGCATGTGCTTAGTTATATCGGGATTCCCTGGTTATATTGAAGACGTGGGCTAATATCTGTTTGCCCAGTATTTCTCGCTGATTGTTTGACCAACATTTAATTGCTATTGTCCAGCTGACTTTTCTAAAGGCTTTTCTACCCTCGGCGCTAAAGGGATTGCGGAAAATTTCAACACTATTTGTGTTTCTTGATGACCCAGTAGAAGAAGAATAAGGGCTACCCTGCCCCCCCCCCCCCCCCCCCCGAAAAAAAATGTCCCAAAACAACGCAATCATTATTAATTCCGTTTACTACTTGATACCAACACGTGCATGATGGATCCCCCGGATGGATCCTTATTTAGACAGTGAGACAGTTCTGTTACGAGAAGCAATTCAACGAATTGCCATGGCTTGTATATGTTCTAGAACGCACTACGCTCTTTCGATAACACGTGGCCCCTATTCAGCACTATATATACGTATTTTAGTTATTCTTAACAATGACCTAGATCTAAAACTGGCCGCGGATGTAACCCCCCCCCCCCCCCTTCGTCGCAAAGAAATATTCGATAAAATTCTTTGACACAGTATGATAAACTAATTTCTTCTTGAGATATGTTTGGGGTGAAATTTCAAACATCATTTCCTGGTAACTCTCTTTTTTTTTAATGCATGCTCTATTCTTACGATTTAGGCATAATTTACTATGTTGATTTGCAATTGATAATCTCCCTGGGAGTTTTGCGATATCCCCGATGATACGGGTACAGTGTATTTAATTTTCTTCGTAACATTAGTGTTTTGCAAAGAAAGAACATTCTGAAAATGAGCGTCTTCCTTCTAACGAAACATATTGATGATGTTCCCGACAATACACATATCATTTGCATTAAAAAAAATCGTAATACAGATAAAACGCTTTTTAAATCCAATTCAAGGAGAAACTATGACATTCTTGATTAAGTATCATTTTCAACATCACGGATTTTAAAATACGTTCTCTAATTTTAAGAAGATTCAAAGGATCTATGTATTGAAATAACAGACTGATGATATAATTATATGATTTATAATGATCATACGACAGAACTGTTTACAAGATGCAACAAAAATTGTTTTAAAAAAAACAAGAAAATCGAAACATGCGATAACATCGCTATAAGGAAATATAAAATTACAATTAAAGTGTCAAAACATGCACGAGGAAAACAATGTCAGAGAGAGTGGGGTAAGTATAAAAATAAATTTGTTTTTTTCGTGAACAAATCAATTTGTATTAAAATTGATACAGTATATTGAACACAATCATGAACAGAACAGGAGGAGATGAAAAAATGAACAATCATGCCAACGTTAACGCCTACAGAACTCCGATTTCGAGAGGAAAATAAACAATCAGAACAAACATTGTAACCAATGTCATGTACGTAAAATAATATTAAAACAAATCAGTAGCCACGTAATGCTTTTCAGAGTCAAATCTCGCAAGACGAGAGCGACACACAAGCGGGCACTACATGAATAACTAATGCGCCGGACCGGGCGCGAAAGGGCGCGAAAGCTATTCAAAGTTTAAGTTCCCATTCACAAATGTCAAGTTCTTCACCGGGGCGCGCCCCGGCGGGGTAATTTCGTAACAATGAGACTCCAAACAATAGCCAGATTTTAATGAGCTGGCAACCAACTGAAGTCCTCTCCTATCCGACGCAAAAAGGCGCTAATGGGCGCATAAAGGCGCCTCCTTTGTTCTCATATCCTGCTCTGCGCCCCGACGCGTCGCGACACAGTCGCAACTTTGGAAGGCTCCCCTAACAGAAGAGTAATGTTGATTGAATTCTCTTCATATTTTGAATATGATGGCATCTTGAAGAGCAATCCTTTTCAAAATACATTTCTACTATTATTCATATAATTGACACACAAAAGGCCAGTCTTCATCACCGAAGTTGCAAAATAACCTGCTATTTTCAAATTCGAAATTGTGTCTTCACCAGACCCATATGCTCCTCACAAACTAGCTCAGACGGGCGTAGATTAGCCCGCTATTTCCCAAATAGCAGGCTATTTTGGAAACAAGAACAAGATTTCTTGGGACATTTTCTTGACCAAATACCGATAGCCCGCTCATTGCAACTGCGGGCTGATTGAGACGCAAATTAGCTAGCTAATTTGAGTTAGGGCTAGTTAAAATAGCGAGTTATTTTGCAACTTTGGTCTGATGAAGTCAGGATTAAAGGGTGAGAAGGATCACAAAATATAATTCACGATAGCGAGAGATCAATCTTCTCGCTGACCCCTGAACTCACCTCTGCAGGAATGTTATCACAGAAGCAGGTCACAAACCAGTTGAAGGTCACCAACGAAAGGTCAATTCTGAAACAATAATATTGAATGATTGTTTGTATATTGCTTTATATTGGTTAAATAAAGATTTGAATTGAATTGAAATTTACCCACATGTGTAGAGTAATGTGTGCAGCGCTTTATAACTGCAAGGAAATAGTGCTGTATCAATTATATTTTGGATTGGATTATATTGGGTCAAGAACTCACTTGGTAGCCCTAATAAAATAAAAAATAATAAAAACAATGCTTGTAATAAAGCACTTACCACCGAAGTTTCTAAACGCTATAGCAAACAAAATAGACTGATAAACAATTACATATTAAACAAAACAAAAAAGTGCAAACAAACCTACAAATTACAATACATGTGACATACACATCCATGTGAACAGAGTAAGTTAATCATCAGAAGCAATTTTGAATAAATGTGTCTTATTCAAGTTTTGAATTGAATTAGTTACCCAGTAGTGAACAGATTTTACTTACGAGTATTCCTCAAAGTGGGAGTGGAGTCTCGGAATTTTCTCTGCAAGAAGCTCCCTGAAAACTCTTTGATCCGTCTGAGAACCAATCAGCGTCTTGCTGTAGTAGTCCATTGGCATGATGTACTCCACAATAGCTATCAGGCACCTGCATACAAAACAATATAGAGTTTTAATGATATATGGTAAACTCCATAATCGGCAAGAAGTATTCCACAGTAGCCATTATTCAAGACAATATGGAGTGGTATTATAACACATAAATTTGGCTTCTAGTCATGTGATTACATTATTAAATCCAAATTTAACATTGTTACCAAACACTACAAATGACAAATTGTCAAAAGAATGGAATCATTCCTCCGAAAGTGGGAATGGAAGTGTATGAAAATACGATGTGAAAAATATAAACGATGAAAACGGATGTCGGTGAACTTGAACTTACCAAAATGCATCTTCTTCCTCTAGGTAGAGCAAAGCTATGGCAGCAACTCGATTTAATCCCTGAAATAAACAAAAATACACGTAACCAAGTGGTGAATATTCCCTAGGGAATGGAGATGGTGCACATTGTGCATGAATGAATCCAATGACTAGGGTAATAATATCTGTAAAGCGCATAGAGACAGTATTTCATATCAAGCATAATCATACATTTTCATGATGACTATGTTAATGTTCGAGCCGGAATATTATGGAGAAAAGAAAGCGACTTTTTGTAATTTAAACATTACTCAAAGTCTAGGTGTTATCAATCCTCATTATTATTAATAATCATACATATTCCCTCACCTAAAGACTCCCTAAGAGACTACTGGGTATTCCTTGGTGGGACTACGGGTTTGCCGTATACAAGACTTGTACACCCATGGATAGCATTTCCCGAAGTCTGGTGTCCGCGAATTGTGACCTACAGCAGATGAGAACTAACTTCCATATCCCTTTAAAAACTTACTTTCGAGCTTAATGGCTTCAAAATTCATTGCATACTAGTTCCTTTAAAAAAAATCATTGTCTCTTATACTGTCAAACCACTGTAAGTCACCGAATTGAATATATTTTGAGAAAATTTGCATAAGGGTCAAAGGTCATATCATGAATCGTACCTGGCAGTATCCAATGGCTGGGTTGTGTACGCTGTATGCAAGAAGAACTCTCCTCAACTTGGGGATCTGAAGGACAGGGGATGAGAAGATGAAGAGGAAAAAAGAGGATGAGTACATCTACATTGTTTTTGCTCACCTGAAAGTGCATACACTGTATATCATTTAACCTTTATTATTTTATCTATCTTTTCTTTCTAAGTTGATGTCTCTATCTCTAAAAAAAATGTTTCCATTTTCTCACATACTCTCTATTTCCCCTTCTATAATTTACACAAGCTTTAAAGGTAAAGACCAGTATTGGAAACGCCCCAATTTCAAAAAATGAAATGGAAGCTCTCATTACCAATCATGTGAAATAATTTGTTTTGACTAATACATGATGATAACAAATTTGCCGGGAAACCGCCTACTAATTCATATATTTGGTAAATTTGTTTCTCTCATGGTCTGTGAGAGATATAGGGTAGTCCCATATACATATTTCTGTGTATAGTGCTTGTAACTGTACGAAGAATGGGCCAAATTTCTTATCATTTTGATGATTCCAGAACCTTACAGATGCTAGATGCTAGATGATCAACCTTTTCTGATCAATTCCACAACGTTTCTTTCACAATGCAATCGTATGACCATAACTGGTCTTTACCTTTAATCCCTTTTCTCTATCTCTCTCTCTCTCTCTTTCTCCCACTCATTCTCCCATATCCCTCTGCCACTTTCTCTCCCTATCTTTCCTCCTACCTCCCTCCCCATCTCTATTTCCCTCTCTGCCTCTCTGCCTCTCTCTTCCTTTCTCCTTCTCTCTATCTTTGACTTACTTCCCGCGATTCCATTTTCCCATGTCTGTCGTTTGCTCTATCTCTCTCTATCCCTCATGCTCCCCTATCCCTCTGTCACTTTCTCTCTGAATCTCTCTCCCTCCCCCTCCATCGCTCACTGTCTCTCCCTCTCTCTCTCTCTCCTCTCTCCCTCTCTCTCTTCTCTCTTCCTCTCTCTATCTTTGACTTACCCCCTGTGATTCCATTTTCTCATAGTGTCTGTTTGTTGGCAGTGTCCTCAAAAGATCAAGCTCTATTTGCTTCGTTGCTGGGCTGGACTTGAAGCTCTGAAGAAAAAGAAGAAGGAAAACAAAAGAAGAAGAAGAAGAAGAAGAAGAAGAAGAAGAAGAAGAAAAGAAGGAGATAGAGAATGAGCAAAAGATTAGTTACGCTATAACTGGTAAAGCTCTCTATAAGAAACAGTAAATATATTAAAGATTCAAAAAATATACGTTCAAGCTCATGTTTGCGTAGTTTTGGTAGCAATAATGGTCACTGAAAGGTAATGAGCTAAACTGCAAATGCAAAATACAGTATGGAATATGGCAAGGACCAACCAAAAAGCAAATGCTTGTGAGAAATGGCCCTGAAAGAGAGATAAAAAATAACAAGACAAATACCAAGTAGATACAAAGTCAAATTAGTCAATAAAATACACCAAAAAAAAAAAAAAAAATGGCCGCAATATTTTACAGTCCTTACCTTACTGTTTTGTAGCCTTTGATAATAGCCCACACCTGTTGTTTCTTTATCTTGCCTGACACGCAAGTCCACACACCTATGAATATAGATAGAAGCAAACATGTTGTGAAAAGCTACATGTGGATGCAAATATATACAGATTTATCTTGGTACTTACTGTATGCTGGCAGAAGAGAAGGAGGAGAAGGAGGAGGAGAAGGAGAAGGGGAAGGAGAAGAAGAAGAAGAAGAAGAAGAAGAAGAAGAAGAAGAAGAAGAAGAAGAAGAAGAAGAAGAAGAGGAATAAAGAGAAGAAGAAGAAGAAAAAGAAGAAGAAGAAAAAGAAGAGGAAGAAGAAGAACAAGAACAAGTTTAAAAGAAGGCAAAAACAGAGAAGACAAAGTAGAAGAAGAAGGATGAGGAAGAGGATGATTAAAAAGTACTTTTGACTAGAAAACATAAAAACTACACACATGCAATTCTACCCTTAACAATGGTACTAGGAAGGGTAGTATACACCTGTATCTCCCCTACCTCGAAATCCATTCCCCCTCCACATTTAGTACATGACACATGGTATAGCAATTTATGTTAACGAACCATTAAAATACAAATGTAGAAACGATATGCAAATATTCACTGAAAATGTTGAATCCATCTTTATTGAAGTGTTCATGAAGCCAGTAAATGTAATAATAACATGACTTACAACTATTACAGTCTGAGTAGGGTTAAAGCCATTCATGATTGCAAAATAAAGATTGGCTTACCATTTCCAAAGCCTTGCTCTATATTCATGTGGTATACCACCTCTAATCAGAGACTTCAGTTCAGGCTGTGTGGGAAAACAAAAATGAGTTTAAAGGCATAATTGTTGCACAATGTTTCCACTTTTACAAATCTGAAAAGAACAAGAAGAACAAGTAGAACAAGAAGAAGAACTAGAGAATAAAGAAGAAGAGGAATGAGAAGAGAAGAGTAGAACAACAAGAAGAAGAATAAGGAGAACAAGGAAAAGAAGGAAAAAAAGATGAACAAGAATAACGAAGGGGAGGAAATGAGCCTTAGTCATTTTAAACCACTAAATATCATTCTTAATTTCAATCCTGATCACAACTTATACATGACCGTAATCTTTATCCTAAACCATACCTAAAAATTCAAATCACAACTGATGACCTTTGACCTTACCGTCATGATGAGTTCCTTCTCCGGATGAGCGACAACATAGTTCTCCCATTTCACTGCTCTAGATACTTCTAGTGTAGAATGTCTAGACTGTGAAGAAAAAGAAAAATAATGATAAAAACTAAAAGAAAGCCAATACAAACATCAAAAGGTATTAAGGAGGAGGGTGACATCTGGGGAGAAGTGAACAATAATTTGTAAGCATTTTTCATTGTTATTATGCAAGTGTGGAAGAACATCAGAGAAAAAACAAACCTGGGTCGAGCGTGCAAAATGTAGATTAATGTCTTGCCAAAGGACATCAGTGCCGCAGCGGGACTCGAACCATGGACCTTGTGATCCACAGTCCGGTGACATATCCCCTCGGCCACGACACTTCTCGGTTTGTTCGACTCTTGACTCAATCTCTTTCCCCCTCATTCTACTAATCTAATGCCCTTTTTCTACAGCTTTTGCAATCATTAATTTTCACATTTTTTTGTATCTCCCTTTCTTTTTGCCTTCTTCTATTTCCCTCTATTTTGTCCTCTTTTTATTTTTTCCCCCAAAAGTCTAGAATTTCTTAGCTACATATTTTTCTATATATTGATTTCTAAGCATACCTTGTTCATGTTATATTGTAAAACAGCTCCTGAGGAACTAACACTTCAACAAGCTCCGTTTCAAGTTAGTTCCTCTTTTCTCATGCTTTTTCCATTATATTCGTTGTTTCATTGCATACTTTTTGTAATACAATTTTACTTGTATTTTGTTTTGCATGAGAAATAAAATAATTTGCATCAATGTTGAATCAATATGTATGTAGATGTTATGCTCACCTTGATTTCATCTGACCTCCTCTGTAGCTTTGCCGCTTGACTCAAGAGGGCGTTTTCCTCTTCGATCTCTGCCTTGTGATCCCTGATGAAACCATACTTATCAAACAATTGCTCTCTGCCAACAGCAAAACAAGAAGACAAAGAGATTGTTAATAAGAATAATTTAAAGCCCCACTGCACTACTTATAGCTACTTGCTCCCTCTACAAACAACGTTACTGAATAATTAATTATGTAATTACAAATCTTTATTCTCAGTTTTCTTATGTGTAACTGATTTTCTCATAAAACTGAAGATATGGTGTATATATTCAATACTGAATGAACGCCACTAAACTATTACCAACAACAACAACTACAAACAATGCATAATCGGTGACCAAAGGTCCCCTATGATCCTCTTTTTCTTATGTTAATTGAGAGCTGATTTGATGAGATAACCACCTGTCCAGTGACCTTGCGGGTGGTCTAATCCATCCTGTTCACTAGTATTGATGGGCTTTAACAAGGAAGGGGAAGGAGGGGGAGAATTACAGCCTTCTTGTTGATTCCACCCTTGTGATATCAATAACAAAAGAATTACAGCAACAATCAGAGAAGGAGTTTCTGACCATTCAAACTGTACCCAAAAAAAATTACACTGTACTTTCCGTTATATATCATTGCTATCAGATTTACTTATATATCATACACCATTATTAATGCAATACACAAGCAGGTACATGGTTTACATAAAAGATTTTACATGCATTACTGTTTGTCATTTTCTACACATTTCATCGTATTTCAACTAATGTATAATTACCTGCTTGAACAATTATTTACGTCGTTTCCATGTATCTTTCAAACGATTATTTCCATTTTTGTAATAATTATTATGCCAATGTATTGTAAAACAAAATGTGAAAGAAGCTTTCTCATAAACATAACAACAAGAGAAAATATGAAGGAGTAAAACAAGATCAAGAAGAAAAAGAAGATGAGAGAACAGAAACCAAAAAATAAGGACAAATCATGAAGAATCATACTTTGCTGTTTCTGAGTAAGACTTTGTCTTCTCCTCGCCTATTTCAGAATCCATGGCCTCGGCCAGCAGTTTAGAAATGATATCATCAGAATCCTTACTTCCTTTTTCTGTAAAAGAACAACAAGTTCTGAATTTGAATCGTCATGATAAATAAAAAGAATTATTATTATCATTATTATTACTTATACCGAGCTTGTCCCATGAGGCCTAAAGTGCTTACAGTAAATGACATACCAAAATACATATGATATTAAAAACAATCTTACAACTACCAACTGCAAAAAAAGTGTGTTTTCAAGGCCTTTCTGAAGGTTATAACTGATGGAGACTGTCTAGTTCTAAGTGGTAGATTATTTCAGAATCAAAATAATGATGTCTTTCATGGTGCTTGCTTCAAAATGTAATACAAGTACATGTATCAGTTAAATATAAAGGTGAGTTCTGGTAATGAGATTGCATTGTGAAAGAAAAGGTGTGGAATGGATCAGAAAAAGTTGATCATGTAGTATGAAAGTATTGGTGTGTACTGCAAGGTTCTGGAGTCACCAAAATCATGATAAATTTGGCCTAGTCTTGGTAAAGTAACAAGCACTGTACACAGAAAGATGTATATGGGACTACACAAATGATGTCGGGGCTAGCTTACCTTGATTTCCTTGTCTTTCTACGCTCATTACTCAGCCAGTATACATTTTCTTCCAAAATTGTTTGGCACATGACATTTATTTGTAATCTTGAACATTCAGTGTAAGTTTCGTTTGATTCTGTGAGAATTCATTTTCTTTTTTTACCAGAACTCAAGTTTATCTTTAAGCTATGATATCTGTTTATGGGACTTCCATATTTGGGTGAGAGGTGATCAGATTGGCAAAAAGTGTAGTTTGGTAAAAATACTACCTGCTACCTTTTTGCTGATGTACCGTTCATAGCTGTTGTCATATATAGTTAACAACACAAATACTCATACCCCTTGTAAATTTGATGTTTTGTGTGAGTTTTTTGTAACTCAAGAATGAAAGATGGACTGATTGAATTAGGGCTTTATTGAATACTTTTAGATGTAAGCTTGAATGTCACATTCTCAAGAAACATAAAACAGGATAAATCAATTTTCATTAACTTGGTATTGAAGAATATGAATAATTTAATTGTTAATTGTATGCTTACCTCTCTGTGGCCCTCTGACCTCATTCAGAAGTAGAAGGTATTTACTCTCAGTCTTGCAAAAATCGGCTTCCATGTAAATATATTTCCTAAAACAAAAAGAGAAAAACAGATTAACGTAACTAAAACACAAGCAAAGAAGCAGTTACACTTATCATCATTTATTCAAATTTTTCGTTTTTTATTAGACAACATATTTTGCAGATATAAGCTGAATTGCTCTTGTATAAAAAGAGATAGAAATTCAAATTCAAATTACATGGCAATATAATTATACAAATCAGGAAAAAAAATGCTGTATAATTTATACAATATTTATACACTGAAAGATAAAGTTTAGTTCTGGTCATGCAATTGGATTGTGAAAGAAACATTGCATTGCATTGTTGAATTGAACAGAAAAAGTTGATCATCTATTTTGTGTGTACTGCAAGGTTCTAAGGCTTCTATTTTGACCCCCAAAACAAACACCTGAACTATCAACATGATCAAATAACCAATGTTTTATCCCTTTTTTGGAAAAATCCAAATTCCATATATTTTGTACACAAACCACAAAAATTAGCGATTTGGGGGGCTGACATGCAAAGACAAAAGGTTACGTAACTTTGTAACGGTGGGTCTGATTTTTAAAAATTTGTATTAAAAGATGTGCAAGACTCGGTAGGAAAAATTCTTAAAATATCAGTGCAAGAATCTTTTGCATTAAACAATTATAGCGAAAAATGTAGAGGGGGGATGCTACATAGGGTTAAGGTACATCGTTACATATCTGGAAAAGTTTTATACAAATACTATCAATAAAATTGAGTATTTATTGAATGAGACAAATATATTCCAAAACAAACTTTTGTTAGGTGTAACTTATATCTTGGGATACAGTGATTAAGGATTGTAACCTATGAAGGTTTGATTCTGAAACACAATTACTGTAGGAGTAGCTTCTCTCTGGTGATGGCATCAAATATTTTTGTTATTATAAAGTGAAATATACCTTTTTCAAAAGAATATTCCTTTTATTGTCATTGAGGGGGTAGATTAGAATGGTAAATGTGCACCAAATGTCATACCTCGGATTAGATAGTTACTTATCTTTTTATTCTATTTTTCATTCTGTGCTTTTGTATTAAAGTGCTATGGCACTTCTGGTTTTCGTGCGAGTAAAGAATCAGTATTGTTGTTATTATGAAGTGGAATATACCTTTTTTTAAACAATATTCCTTTTATTGTCATTGAGGGGGTAGATTAGAATGGTAAATGTGCACCAAATGGCATACCTCGGATTAGAAACTTACTTTCTATGTTTGTTTCGGTGAAGGATATTTTATTTATTAAAAGACCGTCAATACTACTGGGCCAGAAGGGATGAGACCACACAGCGAGGTCACTGACAGGTGGCTATCTCATTAACTCAGCTCTCAATTAACATGAGAAAAAGAGGATCATGGGGGACCAACAGGCACCGATTGGGGAAGTTTTCTATATAGAGGGAGCAAGTAGCTACAAGTAGGACAGTGTGGCTTTAAATAACTTACTCTAGGAGTAATTTCTCTCTGGTGATAGCATCACATCTTAGTTGGTTCAGCTCTAAGATCTCTTTATTCAGGAACTTATTCTGAATCTCAAACGCTGTCGCTGAGTCCTGAAAGAGAAGAGCAAGACCATCAATCAATCATCCATGCGTTCACACAGGGGAAAAATTCCTTAAAGCTTATTAGTTTAAAGCTCTTATCTTCAACTCTGAATCAAGGGTAATACCTTATTGTAACCCTTGATATAAAACCCAATTGCAACCCTAACATTAACCATAAATAATTTACTCCAACCCCATTTTTTTTTTAAATTGCTAAAGCACAAGTCAGAGTACCATAAATACCGGTATGGCTAAAAAGCCAAAGAAAATTCAATAATGATGTTTATTAAAACAATCGCATGCCATTTATACAGTTAACTCATATCCTGCCATGAGGCTGCATGCACGCTACCGTTATAGTGCTTTGTACACGTGAGCGCGCCATCGATTGGGTGCTTAATTTACGTGAGCCACCCATCGGTTATATGATGTCCGTATCTAAAGACCGAGCGCCAATTAGCGCACGCCAATCTGTCTGATAGTAAACACATAATGTACAATGGCCCTACTCCGCATTTAAGAGCTGTGAACCTCGAAACGAACGCATCAAAATTTTCTGTGTGTGAATGATGTTGTATATATATAGCTGATTAGTTTAAAGCTCTTTACTTGCGGAAGTGAAGGATATTGACCAAAGAGCAATAGCGTCCAGAGCTTGTGTTATACAACTGGTCATATACCTACTGTAAGCAACCCTCCCATGAAGATGACTTGTTCTTACCTTCAAAGTCTCATATTCCATAGGGTCTACATAGGACTGTGTGTTGAGGAGAGCATGCTCCACTACTTCAGCAGGGGTGTTTCCAGCTAGGTTGACATTACCCTCAATTTCTTGACTTAATTCCAGAGGTGGGTCAGTCTTTACAACTAATGGTTCGTTCCTCTCAAGTTCGCTGACCTTTAGTCAAAAAAAAATCAGAAACAAAAAAATCATGTTTTTCTCCGTAAGTTTGGGGTGCCACATATTAGTTTCCAACCAATTTTTTCAAAATAATCATTTCAAAAATAAAAATAAAAAATAAATTAAGATAAAATTAAAGCTAACTTGGGAGTACACTGTAGTCTCACTAAATCAAGAACTAAAGTGTAATATGTTTCACATTTCTGTATCTTATAACACAGAGCTCATGAAAATACCCGCAGGTCTTTTGTTGCGCCCGGTTGCCATTTATCCATTCATCCCTGCCAACCTTTCACAGCAAATATTGGGAATCTCTCCAGACAAAATTAGGAACAAAGTCTATCACGTTTACTCTTTACACTGAAGTTTTCAGAAGAAAAGGAATCTAAGGCTCAAAACAATAACTTGTAGACCACAAAACAGGAATAATTCTGCCAAAATAGGAATGGTTGGCAGCTGTGACTTGTGTATCTAAACGTAATACAACCGTGGTTGCGGTTTACCGCGTCACATCTGACGCCGTTTCTCACCCTCATTGTCAGTGACATGACGACTTGATCTTTAGCCTGTATGAGATCAGTGAACATGTTGATCTGCTCTCTCAGGTCGCGCACCTCCTTTTTGCAAGAGCTATAGTAGATACAGGACAATAATAAAGATTGGGTTAACCCATTAGCAACTAGAGATTTTGTAAAAATAGCCCATTACTCACTGCAATAAGTTGCAATAAACCATTTTGATGTTAATACTGACACATCAGTCACTACCTGTTCCTTAATTCTACCTGATTATCCATTTTGCATTTATGAAGCAACATCTGTTAGGAGCCAGTGGCATTTATCCATATTACTTTGACAAGGTATTAACCCCCCTGTTACCCCAAAACAGACGCAATGTGAAATGTGTCCATTTATCTTTGTGCACATTATGTATCACATATTCCATTATGATTAACAGGAAGTATTAGCCCTGCATGGGCTTTTTCTCTTTTGTCTTTTTTTCGTTCTATGTAGTATCTTTACAAGTGTATGGACTATTACTTCATTGCAAATAAAGTGATATTGAAACAAATAAATTTTCAGCATAGGCAGATAAAGGTCAATTGTACTAAATATTTAGACACATCGAGATGAATCCTGGATTCGTTCTCATGAAGGTTACTCAATCATTATTCTTTTATTCACCGACGACCTATTCTCTGATACACAGGTGGAAGCATTTTTCTCGCAAGGGCAAACAAAAATCATTCATGAAGCACCACCATGACTTTGGCAGTGATCATTCTAAAATGCCCTAGGTGGGGATGTCTCCATGCGTATAAGATCTGTGTATATTTGGAGGTCATTTGGTATGTATGTCTATAAACGGCAGTTTATGATGAAACTGATAATAAGAATAGATAAAAAAGAAAAGAAAAGAAAACACAGGTCACAAACATTACAACGATTCAGAATCGTGAGGTGAGTGAGTTAGGTTTCTTTGTCAAACATGTTAATAATAGTAACGTTCTGCCTTTATATAGCGCCCACTACATCGAAATAACGATATGTTTAAGTGCTTTACAGATATATTATTACCCCGGTCATTGGATTCAGGCTTACCCACACACAAGGTATGCACATTCTCCACTCCCTGGGGAGCATTCCCGCCAGTCGCCATTTTACAGGCGCACACTTACTCATCCAACCACATTAACTTTTGCATCCTACCGGGTACCCATTTAACACCTAGGTGGAGAGTGGCAAACATAGATTAACGTCTTGCCAAAGGACATTAGTGCTGTGGCGGGACTAGAACCCTGTACCTTGTGATCTGCAGTCAGGTGACTTACCCACTTGACCACAACACCTCTATGTTTCAGAAGTACTTACCCAAGTTGGATCTTGAAACTGTCTCTATCCTGCCTGATCTCCTGCAGGAGTTGTTCTAGCTGAATCAGTTGTTTGTCTTTCCTCTGGACGACGTGAAGCTTCTCCTGGTCCGTCTGGCACAATGAAAACTCACGACTGCACAGAGAAGCAGGGAAAGAGAGAGAATTCTTAAAGATACGTAGATGTTGGCTCTCATGGAGAATTTGACACCGTTCTGGTGATTACCCAATGGTCGATGACTGGGATTAGCCTTCAGTTTAATGACCAACAGGCCTCATGTACTGCTCTTTATTTTCAACAAATTGCTCCATATGAAAAAGTCATTTTCTCACCAGAAGACTCTAGATGGGACTACAGGTTTTGCTGTGTGCAGACTTGTACACCCATCAATGGTATTTCCACCAATTCTGGTATCAGCGAATTATGGCCTTCTGCACATGAACACTAACCACCACCTGCCTTTCAGACTTATGAGCGTGGATTCTCATGGAGAATTTGACCACATTTGGGTATTCAACCCATAACACATGTAATCAATCTTATCTGAAAACATTATTCTTAAGCCCCTCTGCACTAGGAGGCACTTCTAGCACCTTGGCTAGGAGGGATTAGACCTCCCTGCATGGTCACTGACAGGTAGTTATTTCATCAAATCAGCTCTCAATTAACATAAGAAAAAGGGGACCATGGGGGACCAATGGTCACCGATGAGACATGGTTTGCTATATAGAGGGCGCACATAGCTTTAAGTAGTGCAGTGGGGCTTTAAGTTGTTGACAGACTAAGGGACAGCACCTTGTATCCCCTGGAAAAGGCACTTTATAAATCCAATTATTGTAATGATTATTATTATCATTATCATCAAGGGGGAAAGGGCCTGCTGGGGAGTGTTTCACAAAGATGAACTTGTTGAACTTATCTCTAAGTTGGACTGAACAATTATGGAAAGCCGTTAGCATCTTGGAAAATATTTTGTAAAACTTAGTTTAATAGGCATAAAATGTTGATTCAAATCATTCATATTTTCTATTATCATTGGAGATTTCATGATTTTAATGTGGAATTTATGACAAGTCTAAAATACCTGAATTTTTGCTGTTGATTATACGTCATAATAAGGCTACATACATGTATGGCTCTCCATAATATTTAAGTCCAACTTAGATTTAAGTTCGACTTAAAATCTTTGTGAAACACCCCCCCCCCCCCCCCCCCCCCCCCCTGGTTAGGGAAACTACTCACTTGCTGGTGGACTGCATTTGAGAGGCAGTGAGTTGCTTATGAAGGAGGTCTATCAATTCTTTACTCTCGTTCAACTCTTTTCTCACGAGACACAGCTCCTCACTCAGTTGTTTGACCTCAGCTACGAGCTAAAAAAGTAGTAGAGAAACAGAAGGAAATAAAACATATATAAAAGGTGCAATGGCCTGGTGGCAGAGCAGTGGTCTTGTAACCGGGAGGTATCGAGTTTAAAACCAAGTCAAAGCGTGTAACTCTTTTCTCACAAGACACAGCTCCTCACTCAGTTGTTTGACCTCAGCTACAAGCTAAAAAGGTAGAAGAGAGAAAGAAAGATAAAACAAAAAGGAGGCGCGGTCTTGTAACCAGAAGGTCCCGGGTTCGAAACCAAGTCGATGCCCTAGTACCCTTAGGTTAGGCATTAATCCTCATTACCAAGTCCCTTGGAGAAGGCTCAAAGCTGTTGGTCCCCTGGTTGCTTCCTTACAAGCATACACATACTTTATTAGCTGGTAAAAACAAAACAAAACAATAAACAAACAAACCAAAAAATTAATGCCTTTCAATCAAAAGTTGCCCATGATAAAAATGGATTTCAAGAAGGGAATAAGGTGAAGTAGTTGTAAAGGTGACACATAATCTCTGATCATTCTTATGATGGTTCGGTTTGATGGTTTGATTTAACTGATCTGACTGCTATTAAAGAAAGCGCGTATGCTTGTAAGCAACCGGGGGACTGATGGATTTTAGTCCTCTCCGAGGGGGACTACGGATGTAGACTAATGCCTTTCACTCTGTCGGCATGTGTGGCTTTCAGCAATATTGAGTGAATTTAATATCATTTTGATAAGTTCAAAAATTTTAGACTTTAAACATTTACACAATTTTGCTAACAATATTTGATATTGTGTAATTTTTTATGTTTTTTTAATACTGATTTGATGTTTAGAAGGAAACATATATTAAATTTAATATATATAAATATTTTATTTTTTCTTCTCCCATTTGCTATGTTTTCTTTAAATACATAAATATGAGTTTTTTTAATGTTTTTTTGATTTTTGTCATATGATTGTATGTTTGATGTAAACTTGCATTTTTAGTCTTTGGATTTTTTGACAAGTCGTGAATAAAACCTTATTTGAATCTTGAATCTGGAGTATACTCTAATGATTATACATGTACACCTGTACATGTCATTAAAAAATAGAATAATATTTATTTTCAAAATTAAATGAACAAACAAAGACAGAATTAAAAAAAGAGTAATTGAATAAAGAAATCTACAAACCTGCTGGCAGTTTTTGCAGTCATAGTCCTCAAACCAGGTTGTACTGGCAGGTTTAGATGGTGGTGAGGCTGGATTCCCAAAAGCAGAGCTATTACCAGTACTTAGCTTTCTAAGAGAGAGATTATATACAACATGGGTGTGTTTAGATGGTACGGAGGCTGGAGTCCCAAAAGCAGAGCTATTACCAGTACTTAGCTTTCTAAAAGAGAGAAATTATATACAACATGGGGGGGGGGGGGGGTTAGATGGTACGGAGGCTGGTGTCCCAACAGAGCTATTACCAGTGCTTTGCTTTCTAAGAGAGAAATTATATACAACATGGGGTGTTTAGATGGTACGGAGGATGGTGTCCCAAAAGCAGAGCTATTACCAGTGCTTAGCTTTCTAAAAGAGAGATTATATACAACATGGGGGTTTAGATGGTACGGAGGCTGGTGTCCCAAAAGCAGAGCTACATGTATCACCAATATGGGTGTGTTTAGATGGTACGGAGGCTGGTGTCCCAAAAGCAGAGCTACATGTATCACCAATATGGGTGTGTTTAGATGGTACGGAGGCTGGCGTCCCAAAAGCAGAGCTATTACCAGTACTTAGCTTTCTAAAAGAGAGAAATTATATACAACATGGGGGGGGGGGGGGGGTTTAGATGGTACGGAGGCTGGAGTCCCAAAAGCAGAGCTATTACCAGTGCTTTGCTTTCTAAGAGAGAAATTATATACAACATGGGGTGTTTAGATGGTACGGAGGCTGGAGTCCCAAAAGCAGAGCTATTTCCAGTACTTAGCTTTCTAAAAGAGAGATTATATACAACATGGGGGGTTTAGATGGTACGGAGGCTGGAGTCCCAAAAGCAGAGCTATTACCAGTACTTAGCTTTCTAAAAGAGAGATTATATACAACATGGGTGTGTTTAGATGGTACGGAGGCTGGAGTCCCAAAAGCAGAGCTATTTCCAGTACTTAGCTTTCTAAAAGAGAGATTATATACAACATGGGGGTTTAGATGGTACGGAGGCTGGTGTCCCAAAAGCAGAGCTACATGTATCACCAATATGGGTGTGTTTAGATGGTACGGAGGCTGGCGTCCCAAAAGCAGAGCTATTACCAGTACTTAGCTTTCTAAAAGAGAGAAATTATATACAACATGGGGGGGGGGGGTTTAGATGGTACGGAGGCTGGAGTCCCAAAAGCAGAGCTATTACCAGTGCTTTGCTTTCTAAGAGAGAAATTATATACAACATGGGGTGTTTAGATGGTACGGAGGCTGGAGTCCCAAAAGCAGAGCTATTTCCAGTACTTAGCTTTCTAAGAGAGAAATTATATACAACATAGGGTGTTTAGATGGTACGGAGGATGGTGTCCCAAAAGTAGAGCTATTACCAGTGCTTAGCTTTCTGAAAGAGAGGTTATATACAACATGGTCTAATTTCACACAAGAGCTTTCCTTTTCATTGTGAATATTATATGCATACACCATTTCAAGATGTCATTAAGTTGATAGCTAGTTTTTAGGCATAAAACTTCTGATTTTCAAAGCTTTCAATTTCAGGTTTTAAGAGAGCTGTTTCTCCTCTTACAGACACTGAAATGGCACACCAACTTCTTTTATATCATCAGGGGGGTGTTTCACAAAGACTGAGATCGACTTTAAGTTGGACTTAACTATGGCAGGCCGTTCATGTCAAAGTTTGCTCTCACCATTTACTTGCATTGGTCTCCGAAGGTACAAATCATGGTCACAAATCTACAGAATTTACATTTTTTGATAATTCATTATTGAAGGGAAAAATATCATCTAAAGATCATAATGGTGAGAGCAAAAAGTGGCATGAACGGCCTGCCATAGTTAAGTCCAACTTAAAGTCATTCTTAGTCTTTGTGAAACACTCCCCAGATCTACTAAAAGAAACGTCCTATGGAGCCACGACGGAAAAATTAATTCCTGCCATTATTCAGAATTATCTTTAAAATCATTGCCTGTTGGAGATTCACTTTTATTTTTGTCTTTTCCATTTTTTTCAAATCTAGAATGGCACTGGCATTTCTGTTTTTCTCTTTTATTTTTAAAACAAGAGGAGGAAACTGACTGATAAATAACTAAACAAATCTAGAACAATATTTTAATAGATCAAGACTTACTTTTTAAATGCTGACTTTGCTCCTCCGATGTGTCCCACTACATCCTTCTTCTCAAAACTGCATAAAATATGAAGAGAAGAAGAAAAAAAGAAAAAAAGTCTACAGTGAACAGCAGCAGGAATAATATCTATGATTTACCCCATTTATGAGAAAGAAAAAGAGTCACTAAAAAGATTTTAAAATGATGAATTCTTATTCAGAGAGATGCCCTTATTCATAGCAGGTAAAAGAAATGGGTGGCAATCAGGAACCTGTTTCATAAAGTTGCAGTCTCCTATATCTTATATACATACTTGCGATTGACATCAATATCAATTAATATTAACTCTTTATAAAACGGCAACCTTGTCTTTTGTGATGATTACCTTTTCTGTTTGATCTGTTCAGCTTGTTTTGCTGCATCTGTCTGCATACCTTCACCGTTGAAGTCATCGGGCGGTGTCTCGCTGTTGGGCGATTGCAACTTCCATTTCATGCTGTATAAAAGATACATGTACATTTTAGGACAGCAATGCATTGTTATCACTTGGGTTTCTTTCTTTTTTATATCACTCTTCATGTACCCCACTAATAATCTCCCTGTGCCACATTGTATTTATCAATGGATAGATATACTAAAGGCTTTAAAACTAGTGAACTGTTTTCAGTGCAAGCTTTATCTATGCTGATTTTAAGAGTGTTCTCATTGAGCTAGTCAAGACCAGCCATTTTGCACAAACTGATCATTCCATCACTTGGTGCCTATTGTGTTGGATTTTTGTGTGTGTGTGAACAATTGATTTGTACCAATTTATGTTTGTTGAGAATGTGACATATATATACACATCTAAAAGTATTCAATAAAGGCACTTATTCAACAAGTCCACCTTTCATTTTTGAGTTACAAAAAACACACATAAAACAAAAAATAATCACAAGGGGTATGAATAATTTAATTGTTAAGTATATAAAACAGGTTGTTGAATCATTAATATACTACTCTTTATGTCATGAAACAAAAAATAATATATATAAACAAGTATAACTAAAAACTCTTCTTACCTAAAATTTGACATCTGATTTCGAAAGTCTGATTTAATGCTTGTCAGGGATAAGTTGAACATCCCCGTTTTCTGAGTGGTATTGGCCGTAGCTTCCCCAACTGAATGCCTGGGAGGTTCCACATAGGCCATCACAGGGGGGATATCAGACTCTGTGGAGTATGGAGGGGTAGAAATTCACTGTTAAATGGACTTACAGTTTGGGTGTCTATACACGTACAAAGTCATGAATATGTACGGGGATAGAGCAAACATTTTCTATGCTTAGATCAAGTTTGTGTTAAATGCAATTTTGGGGGCATAACTCTGATGTAAACACACACGGCAGCTTGGTCGAGTTTCTTTTTAATAAAACTTGCAGACACTTTTCTTCCTTCGAACAATTCATTTTTCTCAACTGTTTCAAACACTTACATGTATATGTACACAAACATATACAGTGCGTCCAAGAAAGAACAAAACCCAGATTTATCAATGTTTTATCATAACTTAATCATAATCATAATTAATAAATGACACATATCTGTAAAGCTTAGATCCTCCTTGTTCATTTGATGCAACTCATATGATGCATATTTCATGCATGTGTGATTAAAAACAATATGAAGAGAGCGTACTTTGTAGCGGGGGCAAAAATATGTCTGTGCAGAGTCACTGACCTGAGCAAGAGCTGTTCATCTTTTCCTTCATTCTTTGAGTACTGAGAAGACCAGACGATGGTTGCTATGGGGACAATAAAAACAATGAGTAATTATGACAAGTATATCTCAATCACAGCATCCACATGTACATTTATACACACATGTACAGATTTAGACCATAATTTGCATTTTAATGTTTTGTTTAATTCAAAGCTGGGTATGGACACATCCTAAGGGGGGTGGGAGTCCCCTAGCAGCACAGATAATTGAAAGTCAAATGAAAGGAAAGAGAAGGAAAGAGGAGAGATAAGGAAAGAGAAGGGAAAGGAAAGAGAAGGAAAGAGAAGGAAGAGAAGGAGAGAGAAGAGAAGGAAAGGAAAGAAAAGGAAAGGAAAGAAGAGAAGGAAAGGAAAGAAAAGGAAAGAAGAGAAGGAAAGGAAAGAAAAGGAAAGAAAAGGAAAGAAAAGGAAAGAAAAGGAAAGAAAAGGAAAGAAAAGGAAAGAAAAGAGAAGGAAAGAGATGGAGAGAGAAGGAAAGAGAAGGAAAGAGATGGAGAGAGATGGAGAGAGAAGGAAAGAGAAGGAAAGAGAAGGAAAGATAAGGAAAGAGAAGGAAAGAGAAGCAAGCAAAGGAAGAGAAGGAGAGAAGGAGAGAGAAGGAGAGAAAATGAGAGAGAAGGAGAGAAAATGAGAGAGGAGAGAGAAGGAGGGAGAGGAGAGAGAAGGAGAGAGAATGAAAGAGAAGGAGAGAGAAGAAGAGGCAGACACAGAAAGCAGTGTTAAGACAACATCAAGGAATAGACCGGCCTCACAAACACAGGAAACCAATAAATTAGCACAGAATAGACAGAAGACGAAGGAAGTGATCAGAAGGTGTGCTGATATGGTCGCAAATCACCAACTATGATGGTGGCAGCCAGGTAGGTACTAGTATGGGGAGGGGGAGGGGGAGGGGGAGGGGAAGGGGGGGGGGGGAGGGGAGTGGTGGTGAACATTCTCTTTTTCTTATAATACAGAGGGACCTGGGACCTGTTTCACAAAGCCTTTTTTCAATGACAAATTACCCAAAACAGTGACAAATCTGCTGATAACCAATCAGAAGCAGGGATTTTCACTAGCTTTTAACAAAATATGTCATTTGTCACTGATGACAAGTTTTGTGAAATGGGGCCCTTGTTTGACGAGCACACGTGCTACATGTATTTCTAGTTCCACTGACGGCTTTATATCATATGTTACAATTCTGTAACATTTCTTAAAGGGGGTGTAGCTTGGCAAATACTGCTTAAAGCCATCTATGCCTTCTTTTGGACAACTGCACGTAAATGATGGACTTGATTATCGGTAGTCACCGACTTAATCTCTAGTACTCATAACAAATAAAAAAATAATTACCAGTAGAGATAACAACAGTTCGATAATTAATTAGAAAGTGTACATTGCTGTCATTATAGACGAGGTAGCAATAAACTTGAAAGCTTTTCTTTCTCATGAATATAGATATTTGGTTTCGAATCAATGCTTTGAAATCAATTCTCGTCCTTTGAATTCTTTTGTTAGATTCTGGAGTATACTGTGCTGGCTACTCTTCCCAAAACAATAGCTTTCTGAACTAGAATCGATATCATACAGGAAACTCTTGTACAGGAAATGAAAGCTGGGTACTGGTACTTCGCCTAACAATAAAAAAAATAATTATCAACATCTTGAGTTCCACAAGTATCAAAACTAAAAGAGTCTTGACATAAAACTGTCAAACGGAATTGAATGTTTATATTTAAGCTCCTCTAAAGTATTGTAATGGGAGCCCTAACAATTTGATGGGGGTGTTTCACAAAGACTAAGATCCACTTAAGTTGGACTTGAACAATGGCAGGGGATTTATGCCCTTAAAAAGTCTTGAACAGATGTAAAATTAGAGGAAAAAACCCTTAGAAATTATGATCTTTTATAGATAATGTTTTTTCCTTATAATAATAATAAAGTATTACAATATATGAACTCTGTAGATTCATGGCGTCCCTTGAGAGACCAATGGTGAGTGGCATGAATGAACTGCCAGTGTTCAAGTCCAACTTAAAGGGATTTTGTAACATTGTTCAGATGAGAGAAAATGGTGCTTAGGTAGTGACTTCACTGCCAAGAGGTACAATTGAAGATAATCTGAAAGTTTGAGTAAAAACAGACCTTTATAAATGATGAAAATTGGGGAAAACTGATCTAATTTAATTATATTATAGGTGAGTGTAAATCGTCACAAAGCAATTAATTGGCTCTATAAACCATTCCAGTCAGATACCGGTATTTAAAAGCCTGTCTTATTCAGTTCAGTTCATTTTATTCAAAACCACACAAAGCATGATATAATCTTTTACATAAAAAAGAGACTGGTAATTTAGTATCTTATTTTCATGGGAAAAGGGTTGGGAAAATTCAAGAATGGTTGGGAGAATTTACTGTTAGAAGGTGTCGCACAGTGACTCCTTCAAAGAAAGCCATAGATATCTTTGTGGTTTGAGAATTTTGTCAGGATCTTTTGCATGTTAAGAGGGTTAGTACAATAGAAGGAATTAAGTAACTATTCATCCATAAATTACACATTTTTGTCATCAACCTTCAACAATGTTACAGAGTCACTTTAAGTGGATCTTAGTCTTTGTGAAACACACCCCTGGAAACAATCATTGCCCACATATAAACATACATTCCCCAGACCCTAACCAGAGTTATAGCTTGATCACATGTCCGTGAAAGTATTTTAATCACATAATTGAACAGAAACCAAAACTGCTTTTATCAAAGATCTCACTACCTCTTGAATCTACTTAGTACAAATCAAATTGGCACTGCATGTCAATCTATAAATCAATTGGAGGAATTCCAAGATTTGTAGGTGTTATTTTTTAGCATTGTGCAAGTATGATTTTTTCAATATTTCTTTTTTTACACAAAGCGATATGTACATGTAAAAGAAACTTTAACCAGGGGGGTGTTTCACAAAGATCCGAAGTTAAACTTATCTTTAAGTTGGACTTAAAAATTATGGAAAGCCATTAGCATCTTTGAACATATTTTGTAAAAGTTATTTTAAAAGGCATAAAATGTTGATTCAAATCATTCATATTTTTTATCATCAAGGAGACTTCATGTTCTGGATGTGGAATTCATAACAAGTCTAAAATACTTGAATTTTTGCTTTTGAATATATTTCATTTTAAGGCTCCAATAGCTGTCCATAATTTTTAAGTCCAACTTAGTGTTAAGTTCTACTTAGGATCTTTGTGAAACACCCCCAGTTGTTGTTTCTTTCCATTTGCATTGAAACACCTGCAGGCACACTCTCTAATCTGAAACTTTACCAAAATTTCTAAAAAACTGAGAGCAGATCCTGAGTTTTATTCCATATTAGTACATGTAGATGATACAAATTGTTTGTAAGTCTCTTCTGTTCTTTTGCATTGATACCCCACTGCTATTATTCCATTTATAAGGTCACAATAATTTTTTTTTGATAGTCTTGTTTTTTTTGCATCAATCCCCCTACGCTAGTCTGCAAATACATGTATACACTCTAATTTATCACTTTACCACAATTTTTAAAGTCCAGGTGGGTGTTTCACAAAGATCCTTAGTCGAACTTACCGTAACTCTAAGTTGGACTTAACAATTATGAAAAGCCGTTAGCATCTTTGAAAATATTTGGTAAAAGTTATTTTAAAAGGCATACAATGTTGATTCAAATCATTCATATTTTCTATTATCTAGGAGATTTCATGTTCTTGATGTGGATATAATGAAAAGTCAAAAATATTAGAATTTCTGCTTTGGAATATATTTTAATTTAAAGCTACAAATGGCTCTCCATGATGTCCAAATCCAACTTAGAGTTAAGTTTGACTTAGGATCTTTGTGGAATACCCCCATGAGCAGAGCCTGTGTTTAGGCCTCAGTTACAGTAACAAGCTTCCAGGAAGTCTGACCAACAGGTATTCCCTTTAAAATCAACATATCATGTTACATTAGTGTGAGTCACTGTACGGCGGCGAGGCCATGTCTTGGCACCGTAACCTCAATACTCAACAAAACAACTTCCCCTGGGGAGTGTTTCACAAAGACTAAGATCAACTTTAAGTTGGACTAAACTATGGCAGGCTATTCATGCCACCGGTTGCTCTCACCATTATGATCTTTAGATGATATTTTTTCCTTCAATAATGAATTATCAAAAAATGTTAATTCTGTATATTTGTGACCATTAATTTGGACGTCCCTTGAAAGACCAATGCCAGTGAATGGTGAGAGCAGCCAGTGGTATGAATGGCCTCCCATAGTTAAGTCCAACTTAAAGTCCATCTTAGTCTTTGTAAAACACCCCCCCCCCCCCTGTAATACAAATGCAGAACCACAAATAACAAGGAAACAACAGGAAGAAACAATGATATGAGAGATAATGCTTATTTCCGGCTTCTCTTATTTCATTTGATTAATACTTCTGACATTAGATTTTAAAGGTTCTATTAAATTTAAAAATAAAAAAATGGATCTGTTATTGGCAAGGGAAAGAGTTGGCATAGTTGTCTCAATACCACATAGTTCCTGTTAACATTTAAACCAACACCTGCAGAAATACATTAACTCTTCAACCACCGATACTTATAACCTACATGTATAAACAGGAAAAAACAATGATGGCTCTGATTTGAGATAAGGCTATTAAGAGCCTCCTTTTTGTGTGTGAATAGTTTTGTTTGTTTGCTTGCTAGTTTCAAATGCTAAAAACTCATGAACTTTGGCAATGATCTTCAATTTTGTACTAAGATAATAATATGTAAGAGAAGCAGACTCCTACAAAGGCAACAAAAAAGAAAAGGAGAGAAAAAAGGAGAGAAAAAAACGATACCTTTATTACCGTTAACACCAACTTTCATGGGGGGGGGGGGGGGGGGGGGACTTAAAAACTAGACTAGTAATTATACAGTCAAGCCTACTGTATCAACCACATGAATTGACAGACCTGAAGTTTATACAGAGCAAAGTTTTTTCACTTCCTTTATAATGTCCTTGAAAAAGAATTCTCATTGAAACATGTACTAAAGAAACCTGTACGCCAAGAGTTCAACACCATCAGTCTATAAAGACCACATTTCTTGTTTCCCTTGAGCTGTCTTAACATATACATGTACATGTGTATACCAACTTCACTGTATCAAAACAACCTGTCTATAAAGAGTCTAGCCTATAATCTAGGCGGAGTGCCGAGCTTTTTTCTTTGCTGCTAGACTAACCCTAAGCAGAACGTCTGATACGGCGAGACTACGAACCGTGAGTCGCGAAGCGGCTCACCGCCTATAATCACTGGTCTAGCTTTAGTCGTTGTTTTTTTATTATCGACCATGAATCTGTGGCAGTTTTTCGTACGAAAAAACCTCATGAATACGAAATGAACTCAACCAATCAGAAACACGTATGGAGAAGAGTCTATGCATATGCATATTATAAATCACATGACATTACGTCATTTTCTTCATCCAAGATGGCGGGTAGTTCATGCGACGACGATCTTCTGCGAGAAAGTTTATCATATGCGGCCAACAAACTAGGCATTCCTAATGGAAAATTCAGAGAACTGCAGGAATCCGCTATTCGTAGCGTTATTGAAGCCAGCAGGGATATTTTTGTTGCATTACCTACTGGTTTTGGAAAGAGTGCAATACACCAAGCAATCCCCTTGTGCTGTGATTTTCTACGCGACCACGGATTCTATGATCATAGTTTCTTATATCTGATTGGTCGAACGTAACATAGGTGTACCTTATTTGGTAGGGCTGTTGAATGATTCATAGATCCGCCATTTTGAATATATATGAATATTGATTAGCTAGACCAGTGATTATAGGCGGTAAGCCGCTTCGCGGCTCACGGTTCGTAGTCTCGCCGTATCAGACGTTCTGCTTAAGGTTAGTCTAGCAGCAAAGAAAAAAGCTCGGCACTCCGCCTAGATTATAGGCTATAAAGAGTCTTGAAGACCACCTGCTTATAATTACAACTTTTCTTGTCTCCCATTAGTGGTCTTTAAATAAAGGTTTTCACTGTACTGTAGCAACCTGTACATAAAGACCACCTGCCTACATGTATATAGACCACTTTTCATGTCTCCCTTGAGTTGTCTTAAAGGCCAAATAACAAAAAATGAAAGGGAGGAGGCAGGGCATTATTATTTATCATTTTGCTATTTTTTGCTATATTTTACCAAGATGGCTGCCACGTAATTGTAGCTGGCCGAGCCTATTTTTTCTTATAAATTGTGCTATGTGAGTAGACTGATCCAATGTATGATAAAACTCATGATTTGTATCACTTTAGAAGGTATTTAAACAAAATGTATATCACAGCCTTTTTTTCTTTTTTTTCTTCTGAAGAGTATATAGTACCAACAAAGAGGCTGGCAGGGACGAGAAACACTTAATTTGTGTTATTTGGCCTAAAGGTTTGACTTACTAGTACTGAATATCTGGTCAGTGATCGCTCTTTAGAAAGTGATGTCTTCTGACTGCTGTAAGCTCTCCTTCTCTCCTGTCAGGTCAACAAAACAAATAAAATCATCAATTAAAATCAATAGACTCTAAATCCTTTGTGATATGCTAATATTAACATTTCTTAAGATTTGGGATATTTAAGTGTCCAGTCATAATGTCATTTATTTTTCTTGAATACATTTTGATCACGACACAAAACAAGATACTTTAATTTTTAAATCCACAATCTATGAACACAAATTTAATTTGTGTATACAGTCAAACCTGCTTTAGTGACCACCTGTCTACAAAGACTACATTTTTTGTTTCCCTTGAAAATGGCTTCTCATTGAAACATGTACTAAAGGAACCTGTCTACAAAGACCACTTGCTGTTTTTCCCATGGTCGGTCGCTACAAACAGGTCTGACTGTATCTCATACAGGCTAGAGATATGTAAAATTTGAAAAGTAAAGCAAAGCCATGTTCCGACATGTTTTGTACTTACCTGTAGCTCCTGCAACCAGAACATCATGGTATGCTGATCCTTGCATTGAAGTATGTACGTCCTGCCCTCCGTGCTGGGTGGAGAGAACAGATTAAAGGGAGAGGGGTCGTCAGTTTCCAGAAATTAGGGACCTACTTGGTGACATTTTTGGTGTCCCACTTTAATAAGGAACCCACATATATTTGTGGCTCTGACTAAAGGCTTAAATTGTGGAGTGAGATAATTAAGTGATTCTAGGTATGGGGATGCAATATTATGATTGAAAATCACTTTACAATCTCACTCCACTATTTGAGCCTTTACTCAGAGCCACAAATATGTGAGGGTTTCTTTAAAAGTGGGACACCAAAAATGTCACAAAGTTGGTCCCTAATTTATGGGATTACCCATGTGTAGTAGGATATAATTAGCTGACACCAGACTTGGAGGAAATACCATTAATGAGTGTACAAGTCTCCCACTCAGCAAACATACAGTCCCATATGTAGGGATAGGTAAGATAATGACCTTTACATGTACATTGTATGGGGTAATTGGTGGAGCATTTATAAGGCCTGTTGGTCACAAAACTGAAGGCTCATCCTGGGGGGGGGGGGGGGGGGGGGTGTTTCACAAAGATCCTAAGTCAAACTCAAACATTATGGAGATCCGTTTGTAGCCTTAAAATAAATATATTAAAAAGCAATATGAATATTAAATCTCCTTGATGACAGAAAATATGAATGACTTGAATCAACATGTTATGCCTTTTAAAATAGCTTTTACAAAATATTTTTTAAGATGCTAACGGCTCTCCATAATTGCTAAGTCCAACTTAGGATCTTTGTGAAACACCCCCCTGATGATTGACAACACCTATTGTTGGGTAAACACCTGGATGGTGTTGAATTCCCCATGAGAGCCAAACTTCTGTGTCTTTAACATGCAATGTGATCATTCCCCTATCATTTTTTCTGACTACTTCCTTCAGATTGTTAAGGTCCTTCATTTCCAAAAATGTGCTGATCATTGAAAGTTTGTCGCTCCGTGCTTGGCAACAAAGATTAACAATTTGTTTCATTTTCTCTTTATTTCACAAACCATGAATAAAACATATACTATAAATATAACATATATATCAATCGTATAGAAAGTACAAAAATTGCATAAAAGAATATAAAATGATAGATACAAATATTAGTAAAATAAATATTGGGGGGGGGGGGGGGGGGCGGGGGTAAATAAAATGGCGCTCTACTATAAAAGTGGTTTGCGAGGCACACCTAAAAAGGCCTTAGAGGCCTCTGGGCAAGGTAGCTCACAAAAAGTATGAGAGTTAAGAAAAAAAAAAATAATAATCTCTCAATTTGTGCCAATTTAAGGATTCAAAAACTTATTGCACTTTTCAAAATTCATAGCATCAAACGAAATATAGTTATGAAAACAAAAATGGTTGCAGTGTGTGCAGAAATTGTTTGCCTTTCTACTTGTGTATCTGGCTCTCAATCAAAATGTATTGAGCAAAACAACAAAATCTTGAATAATTTTTGCGAAAGGGTTAACAACATTTGGATAACTCACTGTATCTGGAATTGCCGGTGTGCTCCTGGATTGGCAACATCGAACGTGAGGGAGGAGTTGGCAACATCTATTGATCTGAGAAAAATAGAGATCACCGTTTGAATGGAAATGTGAAAAACATTCATCTAAACTACAGTTATATTCATGTTTGAATTAACTTATTAGAAGTAATCACAACTCGGTACCTGATTTTTTTTTTAGGCAACATCATTGGTGTTTTCGTTGTTGGTTGTATTTTTGGCTTTTAGTTAAATTTGACTATTTACGCCTAGTTTACATGTAGTTCCTTGGCTGTGGGGGGAATAACTTTTTAAACCCTTGAAGGATAACCAACTTGAATTCATCACAATTCATTTCTCATTCAGGATTTGAATTCATGTTCCATTTTGTATATATCTTCAGTATTTAATAGGTAATACAGTGGTTCCCAGGAAAGGGAAACCGAGAATTATCAATGTTTTATCATAACTTAATCACACTTAATCACAATGACACATATTTGTAAAGCTTAGATCCTCTTCTTTCGTCTGATGCAACCCATATGATGCATATTTCATGCACGAGTGATTAAAGACAATTTGAAGAAAGGGTACAAAAAGTCATTTGGCGAACAGTATAGAGAGGTGAAGTGTGACGTCATCAAAAATCTATTTTGGGAATTTCTCAATTTTTTCTTCATTTTCCAAAAGACCACCAAAGTAATGTCCAAATATCGAAAACCAATTGAATAGGTTAAGTATTGGCTGAGATATGACCATCTGAATAAAAAAGATTGCCTATGGGAACTCATTGTTATTTGCTCTGGTTCATAACATTACGAGCCAGAGCGATATAACACTGAGTTCTCATAGGCAATCTTTTTATTCAGATGGTCATACATGTATCTCAGCCAATACTTAACATAATTATATTCAATTGGTTTTCGATATTTGGACATTATTTTTGGTGGCCTTTCAGAAAATGAAGAAAAAATTGAGCAATTTCAAAAATAGATTTTTGTGATGTCACAGCTTCGGTACTTCATTTAAAATTTCAATGAGAAAAATCACATTTCCAAAAAGTTCCTTTTCTGCCCTTTCATATGACACCTCAATCAGGAATAACAAAGTTCTGTTTGTTCAAAGTAATACTTGCATTTCCATAATTTTTTCAAACAAATTTGTTTTCACTGGCTGGCTGCCTGTCATAGCAACAAACAACAAACAATTGTCTTCTTCACTCACCCTAGTGGAGAGACATCTTGAGGTGTCCGATAGTAGTACAGACGACATCTTTGATCATCAAAGACAAACCTGTTCCAGAACACAAACTAGTTAAATTATAATGTAATATGTATAAATAAAACACATAATGTTAAAAAAAAATGTAGGTTTTCTGCATACAACAGAAAACCCAAATTGTGTAATGTATTCTTTTATCAAAATTTGTCTTTAAACATTTTCTTCTGGGGGGGGGGGGATTTTTGCAGAAGTGTGTCTATGACATCCTCTGTCACATTATGATACAATTTAAAGACCATCTGTACTACATTTAGTTAGTTTACAGGAGGGAGAAGAGATTTCCCTGCATGGTCACTGGACAGGTGGCTATCTCATCAAATCAGCTCTTAATGAACAAGAGAAAAAAGAGGATCATGGGGGACCAATGGTCACCAATTAGGCATTGTTTTCTATACAGAGGGAGCAAGTAGCTATAAGTAGAACAGTGGGGCTTTTAAATGACATCCTCTTTTGCATTAGGATACAATTTTAGTGAAATTTGGCCATCAAATTGTTGGGGCTTCTAACACTTTGGAGAGGCTTTAACTTACCATCTTGTTTTGAATGATTTGATGAGCCCTTTCTCTCCTTGTTTGTCCAGGTACCCACACAGCTTTACTGACTGATCCTATAATAGATAACAGATGGATGAATACATGAATAAATGAATAAATGCATAAATTAATAAATGAATATGTAAATTTAAATACAAAATAAACAAATCAATATTAAACTCAATCAATCAATCAATAAACAACTGTGATAAATACATAAATGAATGAATCCACCAATCAATCATGGTCACTAATTAAGATCTAAATAATAAATGAATTAATAAATCAAATTATTAAATGAATTAATAATATAGTATTAATGACTGCTTTGAGAGAAATAGTTGTTTTATTACGCTCAAGGGAAGGTTAGGATTGTGCTATTCCCCGAGGCTTGCCGAGGGGAATAGCCCAATTGTAACCTTCCAGAGAGCGTATGAAAACAACTATTTCTCGAATATTAAAGCAGTCATTAATACTTTTACATGTATATGCCAAAAAAAATAGACTAAAAAATAAAAAATAAAAAATAATTTACATTTTTGTCGAAGACGGGATTCGAACTCTTGCGTACAACAAGAGGTGTATCGAAAACCAACGCTTAGACCACTCGGCTATCGCGCGCCGTTAACATGCTTGGCAGTTTTCTTCAATATATACATTAAAATGGATTGAAAACGGCTCCGCGTGAGGGATGCTTCGCAAAAGCTCCATGAAACGGACCCTTCTTTTACTTTTGCAATGCATATTGGCACGAACTTAGATCAAGATCTATCGGCAGATGTTTTTTTTTGTTTTTGAGAGTTTATTTTCGTCTTCATGTCAACAATGCAAGATAAAATTGTCGGTAAGATCGATCGAGATTCAATTGTATTGAAATTGCCGACCAATTTTTCGCACACGTATGGTATCCTCCATCGCTCAAACCATTTTTTAACATGTAAACCTATGGGGTAACCATGGAGACTGACCTATTTTTTTAATAATCATGGTTATTAAAAATATTGAAATGTTTTAAGCATGGTTACCGGGAATTTTACAGGAACAGTTGAAGTTTATGAATGCAATTCGACCAATCAGATGGCTGGATTTCTTAAGTGAGGTATATAAATCAAATTATTAAATGATTAAAAATACAAATGAAAAAGATCAACATATGACCAGATAAATAAACAAGCATGAATTAATTGATAAAAGTAAAAAAAAGTTTAAATAAAAACAGGATAAAAATTGAAATAATGAATACATGGTGTAAACAAATAAATAGATACATTTGTTGTACTATTCTATTCATGACAACAGAAATTTACGATTTTGTATCTAGAACTAAGACCTTTGATGTACATAAATCAGAAAATAAATGAAGAAGTATATTTAAATACACAAATAAATTAATTAGTAAATAAATATCAATATCAATAAAGCAAAATAAAGGAAATACATTAATACAGAAGAGAGTTTAAAATAACTCTAATACAGTTTGCTCTTTCCTTAAAGAATAATTGCATTGAACATTTGAACTTCCTTAGTCATCTTTTACTTGACTTTGCCTTCAGCGCTCACTCACTAATGTTTCTCTGATTGTGTCTGCTTTAATTGAAACCAATACCAGATTAGAGTGGACTTCCCCCCTTTTATTATTACTTGATAGTCTACTTCCAACAACAAAAAAGGTAACAGTACAATAGTACATCTATTAAAGCTTATCTGCCATAGTTTAGAGGAGGGATTAGAGCACCCTGCAAGGTCACTGGACAGGTGGTTATCTCATCAACTCAGCTCTCAGTTAACATAAGAAAAAGAGGATCATGGGGGACCAATGGTCACCGATTAGGCATTGTTTGTTGTAAGAGGGCGCAAGTAGCTACAAGTAGTGCAGTGGGCCTTTAAATGTAAAACTGATTACTGGACAATTACATGTTTTTCCATGACCATTTACATGTAGCCTAAGACAATAATGATGATTATTATCTACATGTTTATATTAAGGCTTCCAAGAGGAACAATATATCAGTGTATTTAATATCTTTAGCACAGTACATGTACCTGGATGACTGACCAATATTGTTTTTGTAATGCTCAGTCATCCAGGAACTTCGACTATCGATATCACAGTCAAATTTTGTTATTTCGCTAGTCAGCCCAATATAGATAATAATAATAATATTGTATGGTTTTGTTTTTGTGTGTGATACATGCATATTGCTCTTGCTATGACAGTACATTCTTGTATCACTCTCAAAAACCATCCAATATTATATAAATATTTATAAAGCACACACGTCTATAATGTTTCAACTTCAACGAGAGAAACTTAATCGTACCCAGCAAGTGCATGTATGGCTTTGAAGTTTCAAGGGTACTGTATTGGATGTTTGAAAATAAAAAGAGATAATTTATTCCATAGTGGATAAGCTGGTGATCCAAATAATCAAGCCCCCCCCCCCCCCCCCCCCCCCGTTTCATTTGGTTATAGTCATGATGTCCTAACTTTCCTTTTGAAAAGCCTAATTTTACATATGTACATGAATTGTAGTAAATTGAATTCACAAGTGAATGTATCATAACAATAATAATGATAATAACAATACACTATTAGTATTAGTATAATCAATTAATTATTATTATCATTATTATTTTGTGAATTATTATCACTATTTGATTATTAATATTAATAGTAGCAGTATTATCAATTTCATTATCATTAGCAAGTGGGAATGCTCTACACAGTCAGCGAGAACATTATAAATGGTACAGTGATTTATTTTTCCGATGTGAATGACCCCGCAGAGGAAGGAGTGGGTGAGAGACATAATTGACTCAGAGACTGAACAAAAACATGACAGTGCAGTGGAACTGGTGCAGTGGAACAGACTGCTTTCTGGTTTAAAAGGAAGTGATTTGGCCAGTCATATACCTTCATCCAGGAATGGAGATCCCCATTAAAGGCATAGTTTAACAATCTGAGATGCATGGCCCTATAGTACGTGTAATTAGTGTCTGTGAGGGTGAAATGGTGCAATATTGAAGCCCTAAAAAAATTGCGCTTCAAAATGATCATGATTTGCCTCAAAAAAGTAACAAATTGTTCAGTGACCGGTTTTACATACTCATTTTCCCAAATAGAGTGTACTGTTACAAAAACCGTTAGGAAAACAAAAAATGAAATTTTGATTTCCAATCATAAATATTTTGATAATCAGACAGACGATCAGCTTGTAAAAGTCGTGGTTATGATCATGATTGTAGCTTGAGTTATATCCAGGGGGGTGTTTCACAAAGATCCTAAGTTGAACTTATCTCTAAGTTGGACTTAAAAAATATGGAAAGCCATTAGCATCTTTGAAAATATTTTGTAAAAGTTATTTTAAAAGGCATAAAATGTTGATTCAAATCATTCATACATGTATGTTCTATCATCAAGGAGATTGCATGTTCTGGATGTGGAATTTATAAAAAGTCTTAAATACTTGAATTTCTTCTTTTGAATATATTTCATTTTAAGGCTCCAATGGCTGTCCATAACTTTTATGTCCCACTTAGTGTTAAGTTCTACTTAGGATCTTTGTGAAACACCCCCCAGGATTTTGTTTAGAACCTGAAGGAATGATGCCCAATCCCTTTAAAGGAAAATGAAACACAACTTATGTAGCGGAAATCTTAGAGATACCCACTGACTTTTATTTTAGCTATGTACAAGGAGGACATTCACTTTCAGTTTTAAAAGGAAGTGATTTGGATAGTCATAAATAGATTGCCCACATCCTGAAATGGAGATACCGTACCCCTTGAAGAAAATGAAACACAAACACAACATACTGTACATGTATGTAGTGGTAATCTTATTCAAAATTGTCAGCCATTTTTGTTTCAATCTTGAAATTACTAAAATATGATTTATTAGCAAGGAAACCACCATCTCCCAAATTTTGCGGTTGCCTTGGCAGTGAAAAAAATACACGGGGCTCGGGGCAAATTAGCCCCCGAAAGTCATAAAAGAGCCTGAAAGTCATAAGAGAGCCCCAAAAAGTAAGTAAGGGGTAAGAGGACACTTTTTTTTCTTTCTTTTTTTGGTTCTCGAAATTTGTAATTTTTTCATTTTGCTCCGTTGGGGAGGGGAGGGGGGGGGGGGGGTAAGGTCACCTTTTTTAGGTCAGCCTTTGACATAATTTTTTTTTATAATTATTTATTTTTAAAAAAAAAGGGGGGGGGGGGAGTATTTTGCTCAAAAATACACACATAAAAAGAATTGAAGGGGGGGGGGGGTTTAACCCCCCCCCCCCCCCACCTTGCGTACGTGCCTGCATTCAACTAATCAAAGCCAAGGTCATTCTAAATATGGTCGCCTTCAAACTACAGGGCATATCATTGGCTTTGAACAATCAGCCCCTCCTCCGCCCCGCCCCCTTCTTAGCCCCTACTAGAAGTTCAGTAATGGCAGCAGATAATCAACATGACTCAGTTGTTTATAATTCATTGTTTTTTACATTTGATTCTTGTTTTATGTTAATGTTGTTGTTAACACACTAACATTGCATTACTTGCACAGACACACACATTTATATTGTATTTAAATAATACATATTTACACACAAAGTCTTTGTGAGACAACACAAATTTTGCACCTAGCTTCATTGGTACACAACATGATTGCCATCCTTTGATCCCATTTACGGTGCTGTTTGGGATTACTGCAACAAGTAACATTAAAGACACTCTGCAGTAGTTAGCTCTCATGGGGAATTCAACACTGTTCAGGTGCTTACCCAATAACAGGTGTTGTCAATCACCAGGGTTAGCCTTGAGTCTTATGACCGTTCGACCTTGTGTAATGCTTTGCTTTTCCCTCACCCGATCCGAAGCGGGATCCGAAGCTAGACTCTCCGAGAGATAAGGGGGTAATTCTTGACTGGCCAACGGGTTTGCGGTGTGCAGATTCATTTGTACTCCCATTAATCGTTTTCCCACTAAGTCTGGTGTCTGCAAATTATGGCCTTCTGCACATGGAAACTGACGCATGACTCCCTTTAAAGGGGAAGTCCACCCTGAAATTAAGTTAGTTTTAATAGGAGTAGAAAAATGAGAGAAACAAGTCAGTGAAAGTTTGAGCAAATTCCGATTAAAAATAAGGAAGTTAGGATTTTTGACGTTGTGATCAATCAAACACAAATTGGCAACTCTATGACGTATCATGCGAGCTCAACTTCCATTTGCTCAGTACTAAAACAATCTAAAATTTTCATTTTCCCTCAAGAAAAATTTCAACCATACATGCACCCTAAATATAATAATTGCAAATATGTTTCTATACTCCCCCTGCAAGGAACAAATATATATTCCGTCATCAATAACGAAGAAAACATGATTTTATGGAATATTATGCACAAAGCAAATGAAGGAGAGCTCGTATAATAAGTCACAGAGTTGCCAATTTGTATTTGATTGATCACAACTTCAATAATTCATAACTTTCTTATTTTCATTCAGAATTTGCTCAAACTTTCACTCACCTGATTTTCTTATTATTCTGCCTCTATCGAAACAAACTTAGATCTATTTTGGGGGGTGGACTTTCCCTTTAAGTAACACATACATGTACACACTGCACTATAACGTACACTCAGTTACAGTAATTAAGCAGTCAGCAAACTGTAAACAGACAGACACAGTTGAAACTTGAACTTGATATTACTCATGTTTGTTTGTCACGCTTTTTGCAGTTTTGTGAGATAGAATAGAATCTAACTCAAATTATAACTTACCTCACTGCTACTCGAATTGTGTCTCAGCTCTGAACGACATGTGTTTGTATTTCCTTCCTTTTGAAAATCTTCCTCCATTTCGGCAGTTTCACAACTTGACTTGTCTGCGATCGCGGCACTTTTCACGTCGTCGTCGCAACCACCACCCGCGGAATCGGAAACGGCTATGAAACCGGGAGAATCCTTCGCGGAGAGTTCCGGGTTGATGGAGGGGAGCAACGCCCCCCGATCGGATTTGCTTGGCTCGCAGCCCGGTTCCATTTTAGACTTCTTTACAAGGGATTTGTTTCTTCTTGGAGGTACAGGCATGACATCATCCTCAAATGAGATCAGCACGCCTGTTGGGACGTTAGCCAGGGGAGCGGAAGGGGAATTTGCTTTCAACAACTCGCTGCTTCGTCCGTCCGGTGACGAAACTTCCTTTCTCCCGGGCGCTGCCATCTTGCTTTCTGAACTGATAACAAGCATGCGGCTCTAGATGGCGCTAGACGAGAAGTTGAATGAACACCTTGAATCAACTTCGTAGGAACACCATTTCTTTGTCTAATTTCGGGGTGAGGGGTGCGACATCCTAACTTTCTTATTAGATATCCGATTTTTTTTTCAACCTTTTTTTTTTTTATTGGTTTGTCTGATTTTTCTGCTTCTTTTGAAAGTAAGTTATTTTGGAGTGAACTTAGGCCCTATCTCACCGAGCGGCGAATGCTTACGAACGTTACAAATTTGGATTCGCCATCTGACGAATGTTGGCAAAAATCAGCAACTTTTAGTGATGTTTAGCGACAATTAGCAACATTTGAGCGAATGTTTCTAAAAGTGTTTGCGAAAGGCAGTTGGCGACTATATTAGCGACATTTTTTTTTGCGAAGATTAACAGATATTTGCCCATCCTTTGCCATTTTTGAGACCACGTTTGAGATCTCTTGCTATTAAACCCCTGGTACTTAATGGGTCAATTTTATTTAAAAAAAAAAAAAAAAACATACGGTAACGTGGTCGCTAGCATTGGCGAAACAAACAATGAGAACTGACGTAAACAAAGAGCGACACCGTCTTACAACCGTTTGCAAATTAAGGCTTACGACTGTTTTTCAATCGCCTGCAACTGTTTGCAGATAAATAATTTCGCAAAAAAATGTTGAACATGTTAAACATTTATTTCTGAGTTCCTGAGATACAAGGGTTCAAACTTCAAAGGCAGGGGGCCAAATCTCAAAATTTGATGGGCCGTATCTCCCAAACCCGTTACCTGATTGATCTAAAATTTGAGATTTGGTGCCGTGAGATCACACTCCACAAATACAATAAGCTTCATTAAAATTAAAAGTAGTCGGATGTGTTGGGTGATTTGACATCGAATGACCCATTACAGTAAATCAAGTGTGAAAATACAATAGTTTAAAAAAAAAATTGCGGTAAAAACTGTAACCTATATAGTGCAACAATATTCTTTGAACGTTCGATACAGAGATAATTTGTATGGAAGTTTCATGATAGCTTATCATCTAGGTTGATTCCCAAGAATTCAATATTTTAACAATTAAAATAAAGGTAAATTCGCTTAGAAAGAGGTCTATCAATTGTCCAGGTAGATGGTATATAACATCAATAATTATATTCTTGTTCTGTTTATTATATAATTTAATAAAAGGACTTGCAATTGATTCAGTAGAAACTTTTAATTCTCGTTTCTCTTTATGATACTGAAACGATTTAGCAATGTACATAGGCCTACCAGGGCCCCGTCTTACAAAGAGTTGATATCAATCGTAACTTATTTGCGATTGATATCAATCGTAACTACATTATGTACATAAGAGATAGGAGACTGCAAACTTGCGATTGATTGGAGAACTTACGATTGATTTGGATCAATCGTAACTCTTTGTAAGACAGGGCCCAGTCCTACTTCCACGTTTGTTTTGTCGATTATTGTATATAAAATCATAATTTGCTAAACCATACATATTTATTATTATCACACAACCAGGTTACAGTTAGACCAATTATTTTAAATTATTTTTTTCAAAATAAATTCAAAATAATTAAAAGACTTCTAATGATTGACACTTGTAGGCTATAGGTTGTTTCTTCATATTTTGCATTGTCGGAAGGCCTCTGTATCAAACAATCGGCAAATTCATTTTCTTTTAAAACAGTATCAAGGTATACGATTATCGTGCAAATGAAATTCCAATGAAACTTCTACCATATAAATTCATTCATTGAAACATGTAAGAGTCGTATAGTATACAATTTGTTTTTCAAGTTTCAAGTTTCCAGTTTATTTGTCTTTCAGAAAACACATGTAACAAAATATGAAAGAGTATGATCATAAGGCTTTTAACAAAATATACCGTTTAGCGTCTCCGCCCGCTTCCTTTTTTGGGGCCGCCTCCTATTTTATTTATTTATTTATTTATTTTTTAATTTAAAAAAAACAAAACATGAAAAACACTAAAAATGGATCTATTTCTGATTAGAAAAAAAAAAAAAAAAATGTCGGCGGCCATCTTTAAAAATAGCCCGACTGCCACGGAAAATGTACCGAGCGGCCATTTTGAAAAAAGGGCCTCCTCCTTCCTATTTTTCGGAAAAAACAGGACGCTAAACATGTTTTGTTTTTTTGTTTTTTTTTTTTGGCCTAACAGTACAAAATTATCGTCTAATATCCACTGTATTCCATAGCGCACAGTGTAGAATAGAGAAGGACAAGGAGACGACGTGACAAAGATAACTGATTCATGAAATATGGAATATAATTATAAGGCTATTTACAAAATACACTCAGAAAACAACTACCAACGATGCATCGATCGCGACCACATCATAATTATGGACCTATACTAAGTAGGTTCATGGCCACAATTAGCTAACACCACATCGAGACATCTAGTTCTATAGGATGAAGAATATAAGAATGAAGAAAAAGACGTAAAGGAAGAAGAAATGACGCATCGACATTTTACCATACGGCGAAACAAACACAGTAAAAATAAATAGTACAATATAAGCCTATATTATACATAACAGCTGCTCCCGCGGCCAGAAAGTGACAGATCTGTAACTCTGCTCGAGGCTTCAATTTAGGGTCTTCATCTGCAGACTATACTAGCAGTGTTTCGGTCGCTCCCAAGCACCATGGACCTATTACATAATAGGTCCATGCTAGCACTGACCTAGTCTGCAGGCACAGACCCTAATTTGACACTTTATCAAAAATTCATTGCCTTAAGAGAAGTCTAGCCCAGCTACCTACAACGGCGTAAATATTCATAATTGAACGACACACACCCTTAAAACTAAAACAACAACAACAACAACAACTAGGCGCTGTGGCGTGCGCCTGTACTGTAATCCAGCTAACAGTAGTATTATAGTGCAGACTCACTTTTACGACTTACCAGGGTTTGTGCTTGCAGACTAGCACTGACCAGTTTCGTAATGGACAAGCAAAGAACTCGCGGCGTATTAACAGACTACACTTTGCGTGCATACCATACATGACTGTGTTCGCCAAGTGTATCGTTTGTTTTCGCTATTTTGAGAGAGAGAGAGAGAGAAGAAAAAGGAGGCAGTTTTAAACTTGAATAATAAATATCTTTGAGATGTGATTTTGTTCTTCATACATTTGATCCTTAAAATCGCTGAGTCTTAGGCACGAATAATAGAAAAGCATTGCTGGTACAGAACTAGCGATTCACATCTTGCAGCTAAACATGTTCGGCCAAGTCCCCGGTACAGGCAGCGCACGATACCCCCTCAAAAATAAAAACGAGGTCGATGATACAAGCGACATTGGCTTGAAAGCCAGTGATGAAACAGAAAGCGAAGCACCAAAATATAAGTTAGCTAGCCGATATCGGTAATTTCCATTCAATTTTGCATTTACCTGAACGGACAATACAGCCTTTTCGTACGTAACGTATAGTGAATGGGAATGGGCGATGATCCGTTCAGGAGGTCGAGATCAGTGGTTTGTGCTGACAATGTTCACGCGAGCGAAAATGAGACAATCGAAACGCCTCGATACGGACTATTTCAAGGCGGACGTGAAACGGCTAACGAGAAGCAAGCACTGCACACATAGACCATGAGCCTAAGGTTCATGCAGACCTACTACTGTAAACGGCCTATTGGGTTAGATAGTCTAGACTCTATATATAGCCAGGATCAAGTGGTGCAAGGGACTGTAGACCTATAATTTAATTAAACGAGCTAATAGCTGTGGTGAAAACTGGTGATATAACACAAACATGGTGAGTTCTAATTAATTATTTCTCGGGGGCCAGTTTTATGAACCTCATAATTAACATGCATGTTCTGTAATTCTGCTCTTGATTTTAGCCGTACTGGCATGTGCATGGATTGGCTCAGATCAACGGTACACTTACATGTAGATTGACATGATTGAACACTGGGAAATTGTTCAATTATCCAAAACCATGAGACTCAGACACACGTTAGCATTTTTATATTAGAAAGTACCCTTGGGGGAAGCTCTAAACAAGGTTTCAGCTTCATTGAATTCAAATTAAAGATTTTAGAGCAATTTTATGATGAAAAAGGCCTATTTCAGTACTTTTATTTTTTTTAACGTTACATTCGAAACAAGTTTGTTCTGTAATGCTTTTGTTCTATATAGGGAATACAGTCTTTGCGTGTGTATGGTTGTTAATGTTGAGTCTTCCAGTTTGACTGTGTTGATTGAAGTGAGAGCCTTGGCAAACTGTGCTGGTCGTTTGGCTCTTCTCATCAACATTTACCACCGCCATGTTCTTTGTTAAAAACGTTTCTGTTCTCAACATATTAGTTTGTTTAATTAATTATGTCTTACATTAGTAGTACAAGACTCTGTTACAGGCACACCCCTCGCTTCCTTTTTAAATCTTGGTTACTTCGCTTCGTGAATCTCATAATATTGGACTCTCACGTCACTCTGCCTCTTCGCTGCGCCTGGCTTTCTCTGCTAAGCTTCAGAGGTATTATTGTGGGTCTCCTTTCCTGGAACCCCGCCCCTCCTGGCCATTTGAAAACAAATCATAATAATAATAATAATAGTGAACATTTATAATGCGCCATGTCTGTCAAAAATGACACTCCTGGCGCAGTTGTGTGGAAGTTGTATAATTGTGGGCAAGAATTCAAGAAAGAAAGTAAAATACACATAAGTTACAGTTTAACATACTTCAGGACATAATTTGCAATAATACAATAATACAATACAAAGCATATTACAGTAAATCAACTACTTGACTTTTGTCGAGAACTTTCATTTCTTCGTTTGGACTTTGTCTCTGGAACGTTACACGCGGATAGGTGCAGGCTGGCATGCACCGGCCAAACCGGTCCGTTTCACAAACATTAACACATCAACCGATTCAAAATATCAACAAATGTTAGACATTCATACATATATGCAAGCCTGATCACAACAAAATAAATTTCAAAATCTATTTTCCACATTGTATTATCCTCAGGAAATGTACGAAATATAACACACAGCCATTTATAAAATTTACATTATGGAAGAAAGGAATATAATAGACTAGCCCATGCAGTAGCAGTACGTCTCGACATTCAGTGTAATAAAAGTGCTGAGACATGATGACGGCACTCATTTTGTTTTGCTTGTACCTCTGACATTTTTACCTCTGACATTTTTACCTCTGACATTTTTTCCTCTGACATTTTTACCTCTGACATTTTTACCTCAGACATTTTTTCCTCTGACATTTTTTCCTCTGACATTTTTACGTCTGACATTTTTTCCTCTGACATTTTTACCTCTGACATTTTTTCCTCTGACATTTTTACACCGAGCCGTATGCTAGAGGGTTGAATAATACTATCAAGCAGTAGCGGTAGGCCTACTGTAGGAACAGATCATGCAGATGAACATGTGATGGGTTATGGATGGTCAAATGCTTTAGCAGAAATAATGAAGCAAGCGTTGTTGAATAATATGTGAGCAAACACAGTTCAGTTCCATGCACAGAATAGGGAGAGCTTGCAATATAACATGCAAGATTTACAAGATTTGCAACATCAGACGACAAATAAATACAGTCGGGGGGGGGGGGGGCGGTAGTGAGCATAATTTGTTTTCTTCCTATTTGACCCCGATTGGGGGGTGGGGTGGGGAGCGGAATGTGTGATCACTTACTAAACAAATATTATATATATATATTTCCTTTTATGTTACAAAGAAAAAAAGAAAAAAGGGGAGCCCGTGTCCAACAGCCCCCCCCCCCCCCTCCCCCTCCCCCCCCCCCCCCCCCCTCCCCCTCCCCCTCCCCCTCCCCAGTGGATCCGCGCCTGTCTGCAGGTTCACATTTCAGATTTGCCCAATGTGGCAATGATGTGAACTTTCCCGCCAGCCAAAGTGCAGCTTTTATTTTTGGAGTGGACCTGTACTTAAAGGCCCGAATTCACAAAGGAGGTTTGTCTACAAACCTCCTTTTGTTTCGCCAAACCTCTTTTTGTTCTTTACAAACCAGGTTTGTAAAAAAGCGTCATTATGATGTACGAAAAGGTTTGTCAACAAACCTCCTTTGTGAATTTGGGCCTATAAGTGTTTTGCATGTTCGGAATGAGTGCGTTGTAGCAGAACTCCACGTCCCCGACTAGTCTGCAGGCACAGACCCTAATGTAACACTTTATCAACAAATCGTTGTGCCTTGAGAGAAGTCTAGCCAAGCTACCTACTGGTAGCTTGGCTAGGCGTTGTGGCGTGCGTCTGTAATCCAGCTAACAGTGGAAGTTACAGACTGATTCAGCCGAGGACGCAGGTTCGAAACTGAGTCACGTCTTTCGGATGGTGACGTTAAAGGTCGGTCCCCAGACGTAAATAATCATATCTGATTGATACACGTCTGTAAAAACCCAATTACACACACACACACACACACACGGTTGTATCAATATGAAGGAGCAGCTACAGTACATGGCCTATGGTAGTCTTATAGTGCAGACTCACTTTTACGACTGACCAGGGTTTGTGCTTGCAGACTAGTCCCCGACCCCGTTCGTGTGGACGGTCTTTTGGGGGATTGCCCGATAAGTTGTCGGAGAGCTGTGTGTAGTCTGCAAGCACAGATCCTAGTTTGATACTTTGTCAAAAAAATCATTGTCCCTTGAGAGAAGCCTAGCCCAGCTACCTACTGGTTGTGTCAAGCACAGACCCTAATTTGACATTTTATCAAACAATCATTGTGCCTTGAGAGAAGCCTAGCCCACAGCTACAGTGCATGGCCTATGGTAGTCTTATAGTGCAGACTCACTTTTACAACTGACCAGGCTTTGTGCTTGCAGACAACGCTGTGTGAGGGATCGATGCGTGTGATAGAAGAATAAACAGAAAGAACGGACTGAATATGGACTATTGATGCATATGAGAGAATAACACTTGTTGCCTTTACAATTACAGCAAGACGTTTCAAATCCATTTGATGACAGTGATGCTGTCCACAAGCTTGGTCCGTTGGCGGAGCGGTCGTCCGGTTATAAGGACTGGCTGCTAGGAGTTTTGCAGGGTCAAAAATGTCATCGCGTCCTTGACGTAGCCTGCGGAACAGGGTAAGGTTCAAATGATGATGTTGATGATGATGGTGATGATGATGGTGACAATGAGGATGATGATGATGATGATGGTGATGATGGTGATGATGATGGTGATGATGGTGATGATGATGATGATGATGGTGATGATGGTGATGAAGATGGTGATGATGATGGTGATGATGATTGTGATGATGATGATGGTAATGATGATGATGATGATGTTGATGATGATGGTGATGATGATGGTAATGATGATGATGATGATGGTGATGATGATTGTGATGATGATGGTAATGATGATGATGATGGTGATGATGATGATGGTGATGGCAATGGTGATGATGGTGATGATGATGATGATGATGGTGATGGTAATGGTGATGATGGTGATGAATGATGATGTTGATGATGATGGTGATGGTAATGGTGATGATGATGGTGATGATGATGATAATGATGATGTTGATGATGATGATGATGATGTTGTTGATGATGAAGATGATGATGGTGATTATGATATTATCAATAATAAAAATAACATATCATGTTTATTAGTATATTGATAATGAAAATAATATTACTACTATATGCTTCTACTAATAATACAACAAATTACAATGATTATAATAAAAACATTGATTCATATTACTCAGGTACTATACACAACTGCGCTGTGATGAAATACATCTCAGAATGAGTCTATATTGAATTACAAAAAAAAACTAACCATGAATAATATGGCTATGAAAGAAAAGTGAGCAATTGTGAGGATAGGATACTACACTGCAGTTTGAAATGTTATTGGTTGGTTTAAAATAGTGTTACTGTTAAACTGCAATGTTGCTGGTACAAGTGGCTCAAAGTACATGTAATGCAACTGAAATGTTACTGGTACAAGGTTGTTCAAAATGGTTCAACTGAAATGTTACTGGTACAAGATGGTTCAAAATGGTGCAGCTGTATTGTTACTTTGTGCATGGTGCTTTTGATATTTTTATATTCGCAATAGACATATTATGACGTGGGCAGTAGATAATATCAAGTATATTTGGCCCGTATTATTACTTGTATTATAACAATAATAATTATTGTTATTATCAGTATTCTTATTGTCTCGCCTTCGTATCATAAAGCAAGACATAGGCGCCGCTTTTCCGGTGACGGCGGCGACGGCGGCGGCGTCAACATCAAAAACTTAACCTAAGGTTAAGTTTTTGAATTTTTGATATAATTTTTAAAGTATAAGTTCTTAGTCAATGAAACTTTGCTTCTTTTCCCTCATTTCTTGACTGATTTTGATTCGGTTTGCCTTATCTGGTAGAGCTAAATTTGGAACACTAACCTTCTACACAGAATTGTGAGATTTTGCTCCATTGATTATTTATGGTACTTTATGCAAATGGAATGAAATTATGACCCTTCTAGGGCATCAAATTTTTATTTTTTGACCAGTTCAAAAGTGTACCACATAAAATTTACGATATTTGTTGTTGCGAGATGCGGATGAGCGCTACGTCTTTGACGTTCTGATTTATCATATTGAATTGCGTAATGCAGGCGAGACCGCCGAGAGCATTTCCCCTGTTATTATTATAGTATTGATGATTATCATTAGTAGTGGCATTAATTAATATCATTCTTACTTATTTTTCAAACATCACTTTATTGATCCTACATCTATTGACCATCATACAAAATGGTTAATCTTTTAACCACAACAGAAATTCTGTTCTTTGTCATTAAAATGTTGTATTGTTTAAATTGATTGTGATCATTATTACCATCCCTCTTACTTTGCAGTGTGGACTCTTTATTTCTGCTCAAGCATGGAATGGAGGTTGTTAGCTGTGACGATGCTGAAGCGATGCTTTCCTACGCCAGAGCTGAAAAAGATCGTCTTGGACTTAAAGACTGGGGTAAGGCATGTTTTGCTCTTTTTTCAATCAAAATAATAGTCAAAAATATATAGTCGTAAGGCCATTTTTGTGAGTAGCTACGTTTACACTTGCCATTCATGTAAACATTTTATTTATTCTCTTTCATTTAATAAAATAGTACTACATACAAAAGCAGAAGAAGTTAAAAACTCTGACCCATCATCCCCTATTTCCCATAAAGTTAGAATATTTTGTTCTTATTTCTTTTTCTCAAATGACAAAATTTAAATCTTCCCAAAACAGATTAATCTTCATTGATCAATAACATTCTGAGATGGTATCAACATTATATCCACCCATTGTGATAAGCTAATTTATAAAAAAAAAACAGTAATCATTCAAAAACAATTTACATGTATGATACTGAAGCGATGCTCTCCTACGCTAGATCGGAAAAAAGACCGTCATACGGTCTTGGACTCCAAGTCTGGGGTAAAACCCTTGTGTTTGTTTGTGTGGGTTTTTGTTCTTGTTCTTTGATTGGTTGTTGTTATTGTTTGAGTTCTAATCGTTGTGTCGATTCCATCAGAAGTATTATCAATAATTTGAGCTAATTATTATTATTATTATTATTGTGATCAATATTATTGTTATCCTTATTGTTATTGCTATCATTATTTTGTAATTAGTATATTAATGTTATCATTATTTGTATTATTGTTAATATTACCACAACTACATGTACAACTCTTCTTATTAGTATATGAAGAGCTTAATTCTAGAAGGAGCTAAATCCACTTTTGATGAAAATTGAGTTATTGATATCAGAACATTGTTCACTAAGTACCCATTTAATTTGTTTTTTTTTATTTTTTTATTATTTACCTTAATTTTTGGAGCAATTGTGATACAATGCACCTTCTAATATCAATCTTCCATAGACGCCTGTACCAAATCTGGTTAACAATTTCTTTTTTCTCCAAAGTTGCAAAAATAGATTTAGCTCCTTTTGGAATTAAACTCTTCACATGTATTATCATTATTACTAATACTATTATTATTAATAGTCATATAATTTATATTTAATAGTTACACACAGTACCACTTCAGTTGATAAGGCCTACATCATCATTACCTAAATACCGATGTGATATAACTGGCTGAAGAGCATGTCAAATGAACCCTCCATGAGTCTGCAATAATCAGGCAATTGTTGTTACTGTCCATTATTTGTTTAAAAGATTCACAAAAACAGACACTTTTCAATAACAACACATTGCGTACATGTACTAGGGTCTGGATTTCAAGGCCATTGGTCTGCACGAGATTTTAAAAGGCTTTATGAGTATAAATATAAGCATATGTATAAGTAATTCAAGATAAAGTTGATTTCTGGTCATGTGATTGCATTGTGAAAGAAACATTGTGGAATCGATCAGAAAAGGTTGATCATCTAGCATTGGTGTGTACTGCAAGGTTCTGGAATCATCAAAATGATAAGAAAATGTTCCCAGTCTTGGTAAAGTTGCAAGCACTGTACACAGAAAGATGCATATGAGACTACACGAACATGTGGCATAAAAATCCGTCCCGATTTGTATGATGTTACATGCCATATTTAGAAAATTAAGGCATTTGAAGAGCCATGGTTTTCAGGGAACATTTGTTATCTGATGTTCGTCCACACAATACAATGATAACGCTCACAAATTATTTTTCACCTCTTCCCAGAACTCAACCATCTCTTTAAATATATAAGTATAATGATATACTTCATTCATTCAATGACCATATCGGGATCTTTGATTTCCTCTCGTTGGTACAAGTGGTACAACAGAAACATACACATAATAATATCAAAGATATACATGACAAACAAAATGTCTGAGTTCTTATCGTCATATCATTTCCTTTTTTCCATCAGAAGTATTACAAACAATTTGAGCTAATTATTATTAGTAGTAGTATTGTAATTATAATTAGTATTATTATCATTATTGTTATAATTGTGTTTTTATTATATCATATTGCTATCATTAATTGTTTTTGTTAATATTAATACAACTACTACTCTTCTTATTAGTATATATGTGTTATCATTTTTACTATTATTATTTTTAGTCATATCTATAATTAATATTTATACGCTACCTTAGTTGATAAGGCCGTATATACAGTATGTGTAATAATTTTTACTGTTATTATTATTAGTCATATCTATATTCAAAATGTATACGCTACCTCAGTTGATAAGGCCGTATGTGTAATCATTTTTACTATTATTATTATTAGTGATATAGATCTATATTCAATATGTATACGCTACATGTACCTCAGTTGATAAGGCCGTATATAATTATGTGTAATCATTTTTACTATTATTATTATTATTAGTCATATCTATATTCAATATTTATACGTTACCTCACTTGATAAGGCCGTATATATGTGTAATAATTTTTACTATTATTATTATTAGTCATATCTTTATTCAATATTTATATGCTATCTCACTTGATAAGGCCGTATATATGTGTAATCATTTTTACTGTTATTATCTTTAGTCATATCTATATTCAATATTTATACGCTACCTCACTTGATAAGGCCGTATATATGTGTAATCATTTTTACTATTATTATTTTTAGTCATATCTATATTCAATATTTATACGCTACCTCACTTGATAAGGCCGTATATATGTGTAATCATTTTTTACTATTATTATTATTCGTCATATCTATAATCAATATGTATACGCTACCTCAGTTGATAAGGCCTGCATCATTAATAGACAAATACAGGTGTGAACAGACTTAAGAGCATGTCAAGAGTACTACGACCCTCCATGAGTCTGCAATAATCAGGCAATCGTTGTTTGATCACCACGGTCTATTTATATTTGTCCATGGGCTTTACAAACAGAGACTTTTCTTTGTACAGTTACAAGCACCGTACACAGAAAGATGTATATGGGACAACGCATACAAACATAGACACTTGGGATGGTAGTTGTCCTACCCCCCCCCCCCCCCCCAAAAAAAAAAATCAAACATGCTTTATTTCTAAATCGATACCAGTGATGTACAAAATATATTGCCAAAATGACAGGATTGTCTGCAGTTTATTCAGCCCCCCCCCCCCCCACCCCACAGTTTTTGCTCATTACGCCACTGTTCAATACACACACACTGATCGTCTGTTGACAACGCATTTGTATGTCTAAAGCCAGGGTTGGCATATTTCCCGCTTTGGAGACTTATTTCCCGGACGCCGGGAAATAAGCGGTATTTACCGCTTTTTACCGGTATTTACCACTTTTTACTGGGAAATACCGGGAAATATATATTTCCACTCACTTGTTCATAGGGATTGTCCAATTTTGAACATAATAACAATGGTGATGAGTATGGTTGCTCTTGTGTGTACTATTTGTGTGTGTGTGTGTGTGTGTGTGTTTGTTCGTGTGTTTGTCTATGTCTGTAATTATGTAATGCTGGAAAAAAATACAGGAAAAATATACCAAATATACACCTAATCTAGATATGATGTTCTTCATTAAAGGGAACCAAAACCTTCATACTAAGTTACTGTTATTGTAAAGTTTAAGATATTGGAATAAAATCAGTGAAAAATTGAACAAAATCGGGCAATGAATAAGGAAGTTAAAGGTTGGTTGGTTGGTTCTTCGTTTAGATGGCGCTCTTCAATCTCAAAGATTATTTGCGCCAATCAATTTCGTGTATAGCTTTGGCGTGGGCTTCGGAAATCAAGCATGAGCGACTTTCCTTGGTGAAATGAAAAACCGCAAATACTTCATTTTATATATTATTACAGGATCGACATAAGTTAAGGGGATCCCTGATAGCTTTAAAAGCTATCTAAAACGATTAGTAAAGCTTTTTAAAATGACTAGTCACTAGAGGGCGATATTCAATTTGATGACATCATTTGTGGACAACTCTCCATGCCTTTTGTACATCAAATTTCACAAGTCTTTTGTTTTTTCCTATTTATTTGTGTTCTTGATCGGATTTCATAACATGTGAAGTAGAATATCATTTTAATTGAATATATAGTTCAAGGGAAACACAAATTGTATATTCTTTTGTATTTTTCCTTCGTTATATATGTGTGTAGCGCCTTTTTAGAAAGACCTGAACCTTTATAAGGAGACACCATTATTATTATAGTATTATGTTTATTGTTGTTGTTGTTGTTATTAATATAGTTATTATTATTACCATTACTGTTCTTCATTTTATTATGAATTTTCATTATTCATTTCTTCATTTATTGATTATTATTATTAGAAGTTGTAGTAGTATAGTTGTTGCTGTTGTATTACATCATTTACATGAATATATATATTTATCTCGTTTGCAGAGGTAAAGCGGGCTAACTGGCTGACCTTACCGGAAGATATCCCGGAGCAAGGTGAATTTGACGCCGTACTCTGCTTGGGAAGCTCGATTTTACACCTCATTGATAAACTGCCTGAGCTCGCCCTCTATCGGAAATGTTTGACCAACTTCAAGAAGTTTCTTAAACCTGGTGGCTTGCTGCTGATCGATCACAGGAACATAGATTCTATGCTAGATCGAGGGATTGTCGTGAATAAGAACGTTTATCATGCGGTAAGTAATAAAAAGCCTACAACAAAATTGCATCGTTAAACGAAACGGTTACAAGTCCCTTATACAAGTTCTCCAACATCTCATTGCAAGGCACGTATTAAAGATACTATGTCCCTTTTGCAGCCAACATCAAATTCTGTAGAACTTTGCAGGAATTATGAATATGTCATGTATGGCCTATCTTTGAAGTTTCTACGTTAGCAGTGTCCTAATATTGAAATTATGCAAGAAAACCCGTCTAATTACTAGACTTCACTGTCAGACACTATTGAGTGACTGACTGGCTTTTTCTTCTTTGATAATAACATACATAACATGAGCTCTAAAGGGTACATGAGCATTTGTCTACATTAATAACCCACTACTTGTAATGGCCAAAATTAAACTGGTTGAATCTTTGCGCAGCATAAAACGAACGACCATTTGGTACAATGGTCTAAAAAAATCAGACAATTACTTAGGTGATGGCAATCACTAATGTCGATTCGACAACTAATGGTCCTTAGTTTCCCACAAAAATCCATTTGCAAACCCTTTCGTTATGAGAGAAGTTTAAATAAATATTGTCTTTCAAATGCCGTTAGAATGAATATAACATTTTCATTTTTTCGACCTCCAAATGGGACATAGTACCTTTAAACTATCAACAGACTCTAACCCTTATGACGCAATAAAGCATTTGCCGGACCAAATACATCCAATCTTCTTTGTTTGAATATCATTAACAGGAGGACACACTACCCGGCGTAAGTACGAAAACTATCACCGAAGAGGGCGTCACATTGCGAGTCGATATTATTTACGATATGCTGATGAAAGAGGGAGATGCTGCTACCAACAACGACAAAATAGAAAAGTAAATATACAGGTTTTTAAAACTTTTTTTGTGACACATTTAGGAGGGTATTTACCTGTGACAGTTTCGATGTAGGTTTAATTTGGTGTTATATTTTTGTTACCCGACTGCTAAGAATGCACACGTATGCGTGTACGTACGCAACAAGGGGACCGACGGCGTAAGTCCTGTCCGAGGAACTTTGTAACGAGAATGAATGCAAGTTACCAATGAGCTATCACACCCTCACATGTATACAGGTCAGACATCTCCCGCAGACGTGTACCGGCAGTCTGAATTTAGCTGCCATTCTTTTTCTACCGCCAGACGTGCCAGAAGACAGATAAGTTCAGTTTGCCAGCGTACGTCTGCAGAAGGTATCTGGGCCATATGCATCGAAACTGTCACAGGTTTAATAGCAGATTTGGCATGTGTCACAGAACTATAGTATTCCCAATACTTCAAACCATCAAATACAAAACTCAACGGTCTAAGTTGGTAGTTTGCAAAGACAAAATAAATGATGGCTGAACTTTGAAGCAGTCACATCCCAGCAAACTACAGTGAAGAAAGTGTGGACACTGTAGATTTGTCTTGGTATTGACAGCTCCCCAAAACTTCAGTCACACCAACCGGATCCTAAACCGAATAACTACTAGGCCATTTTCGTAATGTAACCAAAATTAATGCAAACGTCTTTGGGCAGTGCATGGATACGAAATGATTCCATTTACCTGTTACGAATAAATGTATTTCAATAGTGAGAATGCGAATTGTATATTCATGTAATACGTGTTGTTAGGTAGGGCAAGCATAATGTTTGTCCTACCTAGCAACAAGTAATGTATGCAATAAGAATGCGAATTGCATATTCATGTAATACGTGTTGTTAGGTAGGGCAAGCATAATGTTTGTCCTACCTAGCAACAAGTAATGTATGCAATATGCATTCTGAGTATTGAGATACAATTATTTGTAAATGGTGAATGTTTTTCTCTTATCCTCAAGCAATTTTAATACATATTTACATTAATAACTCAATGATTGAGTGAAACATAAAGGCTAAAACTTAAAGTATATTTAACAGTTCTTCCAGCTTAGTATTATTTTCTTTGCTAAATGGTGAATGGAATCATTCGTACCTAGGCACTTCTCAGATACGTATGCATTACATTTGGTTACATTACGAAAATAGCTTATTACATTGACCCTAACGGCCACAGATCAGTTGATGTAGAGTGGGTTTCGAGTTGGTTTGGATGACCGTTGGCCAAGTACATTACAACGGACAATGACCGGTGGTCAAGTACATTACAACAGCCATTGCCACTCCCACAGACACTGGCTACCTACAAATGTCTCAGGTCTTATGGTTATTTGTTAATTTTACGATTACCCTGATTCTTCTCTCTTTTTTACAGGGTAATCATGCCGTTAGCACCGATCCACGTTCACAAGTTTACCACGTTACTCAAGGAGATGTTTGGACCGAAATGCGAATACACCCTGTACGGCGATCTGCAACGATTGGAGAACGGGAACACAGAAGATGTAGCCTATTTTCAACACATTGTACACGAATAGACTAGTTTAAACGTAGTACATTTACAAGTGACCCCAAAATATCCACAATATAATTTTTGTTAAACATGGAAAAGTCCTGCTCTGTACATTTCAGAATAATCACTGCCAAAATGATGGGGGTGCTGCATGAATCATTTATTTTTGTTTGCCCACTAATCCTTTCATCTGTGTATCAAAAATATACTGTCGATGAATTAACGATTAAAAAAAAAAACCTATCACGAACATACACGTAGCATCCTTCTCAATGCGTTGTATAACTTGATACAATAGACCTTTATCTGCCCATGTGCATATACAGTCAAAACTGCCTATAGCGACCAAGCAAGGAAAACACAAAAAGTTGCCTTTGTAGACAGGTGGTCTTTGTAGACAGGTTCCCTTAGTACATGATTCAAGGAGAAACCATTTTCAAGGGAAACATCAAATGTGGCCTTTGTAGACAGGTGGTCACTAAAACAGGTTTGACTGTATTATAAGTTTCATTAAAATTATATTATATAAATGTAATGACGATGGGGTTCGTCGCAGTAGATCGACAGCCCCATGAAACCGATTGCAATGGCAAAAGTTCCACGAGGCGGACGGCCCGAGTTTTAAAATAAAATTTGTGACTAGAAAAGTTCCAAAAAGATCCAGAAGATCGCAACAGCCCAGGAGACGATCAGGGAAGCGGTACTACAACGTCTTGTACTCCTACTCAAACTAATACTATTTCAACTACTTGTACTACTGCTACTACAACTAAGAAGAAGAAGAAGAAAAGAGAAAAATGAAGAAGAACGAGAAGAGAAAGAAGAGGGGAAGGCGGCGGGGAAGCAAAAATGTCATCAAAGTTCCTACTCTCATTTCTTCTTTACTACTCTCTACTAAAAAAATTAGGTTACACCATTAATCCGTTGTACTGAAGTGTCGTCGAAAATATTTATTATGATTTCATATGAAATCAGGATTTTTATATTTTGTAATACAAATATCTTGTAACTATATGAATGTACTGATAATGATTGTTTTATTTATGTGGCTGCATCCACGATAAACATACACGTGGCCACATCCACAATAAACATACAGGGTGCACATGTATTTAGAAATACATAGATGTCGTATATTTTAGAGTGTTCCAGATACACAATATCTGTTGGTAAATGTATTTATACATGCATTGAATCAATTTTTAATATTTAAAACGTACTAATAAATGACAGTGCAAAGAACAATGTATACGGTAGTCCATTGTGTTTATTCATTTGCGTTTCAATTCAGGTTGAAAACAAAGTGGAGTTCTGGTCAAGACGAAAAATAATTTGTGATTTTTTTTTCTCATTTACTTGAAACAAAATGTATGTTTGAAAGACAGAAAGCCATGATAATGAAATGAAAATCATAAAACGGAATGCTTTGCAAATTCCTTCATAGGCAGAATTATTTATCGGACTGAAAAATGTGTGTCCCGAATTTTCCATTTATACCATGGTGTGCAGTTCATGTGCCTTTCATGATCATTAATTTGATGATTCCAAATGGACAGAGTATACCCAAGTTCATTTGTATTTCATAAACAAATTACTTTTAGATGGTTTATTAATTAATGATTATTAGAGTATTATTGCCCAGAATTTGACTCTATCTTGAGTGTAATAACTGCACTTCGTGACTTGTTTTTGTCTTCCTTTGAACGTTATTCATTTATTTATTTTTTGAACTTGTTTTTTTTAATATTGTATACATTGATGAACTAAGACTCGGGAGTAATTGTCACCAGAGTAAATGTCAGATGGCCCTAAATTCATCGATAATAACAACATAATACATGTAACAACATAATGATAATTTAATAACAATGATAGTTTAATAATAATAATGATTATAATATTGTTGATGATTATAATGATTATAATAATAATGATTAATAATAATTATGATACACTGTAATGAAAAAATAAGAAGAATATTACTATTACTACATGTACTACTGATACTACTACTGCTGCTAGTACTTCTACAATTACTACTACAACTATTAGTAATAATGTTTTATATTTATATACCGCATTACATGATACATTTCAATGAACATTACATTATAATCAAGAATAATATAACTCCTGACGACGAGTCAACCTGTTCGAAACATCGAGCCACACCCGCCACTCATCCTCTCCAAGCGCTATAGTTCTCCTTAGAACTATAAGCTAAGAAAGATAACCAACAGTCTTTTTCAAGACTATACCGAGAGTCCTTTTCAGGACTCCTCAATCCTCCCTCTCTCTCACATGTAATGGTAATGGTAATGGCGTTATTAAAAATTCATTTGCAGCCAGATGGTTGAATTGCAGAACTTAATTGTACATTGTAAAAACATAAATATTTATACAAACATAAAACGTATATCACACAGTGAATGAATATTCTAAATAAATCAGTGAACACATATATATACAAATTAATACAATTCATAAAATTCGCTTAACATTCTATTCCACAATCATCATAGGGCTGGAGAGAAATATAGAAGAGAGGTATGGAGGACAATAGTGCAGACAGCACGGGAGATCCAGGAAAAATGTGAGATAGAGACAGACAGAGAGGGAGAGAAAGAGAGAAAGGGAGAGAGGGAGAGAGAAAGAGAGACAAAGCGATATATATATATATATATATATATATATATATATATATATAAAAGATAATGCTGAGGATGAGAGTGTATATCAGACATATCGAAAATAAGGTAGTACAATTTCGACAGAGAGAATACTGGTTGTTAAAATTAATAAATTACATTTTACATTTTCATTGGTGAGTTATGGATAACATATATTGTAAATTGATCGGTAGGTTTGCAATCAGATGAGAGACATGAAATATGGTAATGGTGCACCCGCAAGCCTACTGTATAATAATACATATTTCTACCTATACAATTCCTTCCAGAACTTCAGCAGAGTGGGTTCAGCGATTGTTGACAATTTGAATGCGCTCTCTGGCCAAAATGTTTTCTCAGAATTAGGATTACATTTTTATCGAAATGAGTTATTGAGCGGATTTTGATAGCCAAATTCTATTTAAAAATACAAATGTATAAACATGTATCGATTACAGATCCAATGCATTCAAATCGTTCTAACTATTTGGGACATTCTGGCATCTTTGACCACATGAAAAACATACTGCTAAAATTATCTTTTCTTGAAGTTACAACTAAAGAAACAAAATGCCGACGGCCATCTTGAGAAATAGCCCGACTGTCAGGGAAATGAAGAGCACATTTTTTGTGTGTGTGTGTGTCCCAAAATTTGAAAATTTGGCCGATCGATATTTTGTTTCGTTGGGGGGGGGGGGGGGGGGAGGGGTAAGGGTCAGCTTTTTGGGGTCACCCATTATCACAATTTGTATTTTTTTTATTTGTATTTTTTAATAATAAAAAAAATGAAGGGGGGGGGGGTTCCTCCAAAACACATATACAACAAGTGTAAGGGGGGGTTCAACCCCCCCCCCCCCCCCCCCCTGCGTACGCACCTTATTGCAACACATATCATCTTCCATCTTAAGTACGACAATGCTCTTTTAGAGGATGTACTACAATGGAAGAAGAAACAAACGGTGATAACAGCACATTGCACCTCATGTATACCTCATCATTAATCAAAACATGTTTTATTTTCCAATGAATTGGACAATACACCATATTGACATTCACGCATGACCGACCGCCTAAATATTATCAAACATGATCCATCCTTTAAAAAAAATGAAGAATTCACTCTGTACAATACCAATGCAATTTGCAACATGTTGCTTTTGGCTTTATGGTAAAACAAATTACAAGAGATATATCAGTTGAAAGTTGAATTGCATAACTTTTTGAGGAGTTTATTTTCTCGTCTTTTCATATGTACAGGCGCGTAGCCACGGGGGGGCACGTGCCCCCCCTAAAATTTCCAGGATCGGTTGAAATTTTGTAGACCCCTTTTTTTGACCTCGATCGATTACATGTATGTGCCCCCCCAAACATCAAACTCTGGCTACGCGCCTGCATATGTAATGTTTAAAGATAAAGTTGAGTTCTGGTCATGCGATTGCATTGTGAAAGAAACTGTGTGGAGTCGATCAGAAAAGGTTGATCATCTAGCATATAAGTATTTGTGTCTATTGCAAGGTTCTGGAATCATCAAAATGATAAAAACAAATTAGTTGGTCAAGTCTTGTAAAATTTACAAGCATTGTACACAGAAATATGTATATGGGACCACACGAACACGTGCCGTAAAAATCTGTCCCGAATTTTTACGATGTTACATGCCATATTTAGAATATGAAGGCATTTGAAGAGCCATGCTTTTCAGGGAGCATGTTTTATCTGATGTTCTTCCACATTTGCATAATAACAATGATAACGCTCACAAATTATTGTTCACCTCTTCCCAGAACTCAACCTTCTCTTTAAGACAACACCAATCAATCTCTTTAACCTCTTCAACTGGAGATCCCCTTATTAAAATCAAAGCAACAAAGAGACTCAACGTTTTCTAACCTTGATTGTTTGTGTTAGTTTATTACAGTTTCATACGTTACCAATACAAAGGTATTCTATAGAATACAAATGACAATATCATCAATAAATAGTATATATTACAAGCAAGTACCGATATCCAGAAACAGAATATTAGAATATAAAATAAATTGAATAAAAAACATTCTGTTCCCACGAACCACATAATAAATATAACAATAATAATAATGACAGTCGTAATAATATTACTAATATAATAATGAAATAATAGTAAAGGCAATAATAACACTACTACTACTACTGATAGTTAAAATAATAAATATGATAACGAACATTGCCACTCCTGTCTCCTTCATAACCCTGGCTTTAGCATGGCTGCTTTTACATCTAACTTAACAAAGTACTAATTACCTCTTAGTGCAATGAGCTCCATACCGGATTTCTATGTTCAAATATCAACGTCAAATTTTACTCATGCAATTTGAAAGATTTCGCGAACTTAAGTGTCCTGTAAATCAAGGTATAATTCCCTGCTAAAATCCGTTCCGCATTTGACAATAATTCGTCCTTGTTTTCACGAAGTGACGGTAGTGAGGAAAATCGTCACGCAAAGTGAATGCAATTTTTTTCACTACCGTCACTTCGTGAAAACAACGACGAATTATGGAATCAAAATTGTTACAGAAAAATAAAGCAAACAAAAAAGAAGAGTTAAAGGGTTCCAGCATTTGTTTTATTTTGTTTTATGTGTGTCTTTTTGAGGACCCCTCCCCCCTTAAATGTTTTTGGTGCTAAAGGGTGACCTCCCCCCCCCCCCCCCCCCCCCCCCTACTGAACGAAATAACGGTAGGCATAATTTTCCCATTTCCAAGACAAAAACAAATATGTGCTCTTATTCACCGGCTGGCTGAGTCGTTGCGAAATTTTTCCTCAAAAACTGGACCAAAAAAAAAAATGAGCCCTGTGACCTTGACCTTTGATCTCGTGACCCCAAAATCTAATCAGTTCATTGGCTCTGCAAGATACATATATGACCCAAGTTTGGCGGGAATCAATCAGTTGGTTCCTGAAATAACGTGTTCACGAGAACGGGGCGGACGGACAACCCGAAAACATAATGCCTACGGCTACTTTGTAGCGGAGGCATAAAAATTCTTAACCCCCCCCCCCCCCCCCCCCCCCCCCCCCCCCGCTTATTCACCGGCTGGCTGAGTCGTTGCGAAATTTGTCCTCAAACACTGGAAGAAAAAAAAGTGCTCTTAGGGATAGAGAGAAGGGTGGGGGTGAAGGACAAGTAAGATAGAGAAAGAGAGAGGGGGAGGAGGAGTGAATGAGCGAGTGTGAGAGGGAGAGAGGGATGGGTCTTCCTCAATCTTCTTTCTTGTTTTCTATTCCTCATTCTGTCTTTGTTATTACATGCTGGAAATAGGCGGTGTCGGAAATGTCTGGAGCTGACTTGAAATCCCCGTAGAGGGCCTGCTCGCAATTCTCACCAAAAACTTCAGCAAGCATGGTAGCTACTTGCCCAGCACGGATAGCCTGAAGAGGCACAGTTGCTCTGATGAAAAAGAAATGAAAAAAAAAACATATATATACATATATTATACAAATAATACACATCAGTGAGGGCATTAGTAAGAATTACCCACACGAGGTTCCTTTTGAACAGTCTAATCGCCTCGGGCGTTTGGACTGTTTTGAAGGTGCAAGTGTGGGTAATTTTACTAATGCCCGAACAAAATGATGTGTATTATTTGTTTTATAAAATGATGTTTTCTAACATGATTTTGATAATGACCAGTCATTACCATTGGATAATGACCGGTCATTACCCAAATTACGCGCGATTATGCGTTAGGCAAAATAAATGCCTGGTCACGTGTACGCTTTCAACCAATCATTTGATTAGGATCCACGTCATCATCTTATAATTATATATATATTCACACACACACACACATATATAGATGGAGTGGAGATCCTTATTGAGAGTCAATGAGTTAATGAAACACATCACGACAGTCAGCATGACATCGCCATGCACCCCTCTCTACTTTCTGGTAGTTTTCAAAGAGCTGTGTGGCCTATAAGGAACTCTACTCTATGATTTAGATGCCTATCCATAAACCAATGTATTTATCGACAAGAAACACGGTACTTACCTCACTATTTATTCTCGCATTCAATACAAATTCTAACACAATACGTATAATCCAAGACATATCAGCTATTCCGTGTGAGTCAAAAAAAAGTTTACACCTAGAAAACTGCTAATTATTTTTAAAATCATCTATGAACAGTAATTTATTATACATCTTATGAAAGATGATTTTATCATAAGTATCATTTGTGTGTGGTATGAGTTCAAGCTTGGATGAACAACAGTCGTTGGTTGCAAGAGTGCAACAATCGACTTGCGCCAAAGTTGCTTATGTAATGTTTGATTCGTTGAAATGTCAATAAACACGCTAAGCCTTGTTGGTCGGGTTGTAATGTCTTTTTTTCATGACAGTGTTAAGAGGGGGTGGGAGGGAGAAGAGGGCGGGCGGTGTACCATTAAACGACCCCCAAAAGCACAGACAAAAAATGTGTGCCTTAATTGTTGTGAGTGACAAACTGAAACCAATCCACTCTGTGTAATCTGGCTCTGAGTACCCCATTTTTAGGCTCGTTCAGACAACTCCCCCCCCCCCTACCCCCCCCCCCCCCCCAAAAAAAATCTACCGTGGTTATTATTATTCTTTTTTTTTTATTACTTTTAACAAGAATGTCAACTGACGGTGCAACCCAAATGAGGCGCATTTTCACTGAACTCTGTGTTATTATTAAAGACCAGAAGGTAAAGTGTATGCAAAAAAACGACTTGCGCAAAAGTATTAAAGTTAGAGAATGAATTGCATGAATGTTTCAAATGAGATGCATTGCATATGCTTTTCGAAGAAGCAAAGTCACACACACGCACAATTGTTCCTTGATATTTGAAGTGTGATATGTGTAGCATGATTAATTGTGTAAGGGATGTTATTAGGATCTGCAAAGACCGAATTAATACTCAAATCCCAATCGTTTTACGCAAGTCGATTTTTGCACTCTCGCAAACAATGCTTCCTGTTTATCCAAGCGTGAACACATACCACAAAAAAATGATACTAAATGATTTGGGAAGAGACACTCTTTCATAAGATGTATAATAATTCACTGTTCATAGATGATTTTTTAAATAATTAGCAATATTCTAGGCGTTAACTTTTTTTGGTCTCACACTGTATATACACGTTTAGAGGATTTTGTCGAGTTAAGTTTCAAATCTTCATCTTAATAAATATGCGAAGGATTCTTAATTGTGGTAGTGTGAAATGAAACAAGACAATTCTCGTTTAAAAACAAGAAAAGTTGGTATAGATGTTTCAATCCTGTCTGCACTATTTGGCCAGGATGGATTAAACCTCCCTGCATGGTTACTGACAGGTGTTTACCTCATCAAATCTATCAACAAAAGGGGGTCGTGGGGGACCACTGGTCACCGCTATATAGAGGGCGCAAATCGCTACAAGTAGTTGAATTACTTACTTTTCAATATTACAGTTGTTGTTGTTGATTCCTGACGTAGTATCAGCGCCATTTTGTTTACCCTTGTCAGAAGCACTACCATCAACTATCATGTCGAAAGTGATGTTGACGAAATCTTGTTTTCCAGGAGATTTAACTATCTCAGAGGATATTTTGTTGATAGTATTTTCCTGAATTGACGTTATAAAAAGTGAGTGTGAGAGAGAGAGAGAGAGAGAGCGAGAGAGAGAGAGAGAGAGAGAGAACAAATTAAGGTAACCATATAGTGTGTCTATTTCTTCATGAATGTGAGAAGGAAAGAAGAGAAAACAGTTCCAGCCGCATTTCATACAATATTTTGCAAGGCAGCTTAAAATGCTGCTTGGTCATGTGATGTAATTTGACCAATTAGATTCTTTTAACTCTATGCTGTACTATAAGATTATTGCGTGTCATCTTTATACGCGCAGGGCCCTCAGGAAGAACGGCACGGAGACTGATGAGGCCTCCCCTGGTAAACACATTTATTAGTAGTAGAAGTAGTATTACCAATATTGACACTCCAGACGCTCCAGAATTATTAGCTGTAGTATGTCTGCCGTGTTGTAGCTCTCGCATGTCAATGAATTATTTCCTGCCAGGTACCCATTTACCTCACCTGGGTGGAGTGTTGCAAATGTAGATTCATGCCTTGGCAATAGACATTAGTTCTGCGGTGGGACTCGAACCGTAAACCATATGATTCGCAGTTCTGTTACGTATGATCCATCATTATTATCATTATTATTAATATCATCATGTCAAGTACTAGGAGTTTCAAGTCTGACAGATATATATGTGCATTATACAATAACCCAGTTTTATCATTATCATCATCAATATTATTATTATCATTATTATCATCATGTGTTTATAACCGGGGCCTTTCAAACGAAAGTAAAAAAGACTTTACCTTAAAGTACACGTGCTTGTTGATAGGGCTACCGTGGTCCATGATGATGTCCATGTTCCGATGGTCAACCATGAAAACTCCTCCTGGTTTGAGCATGGATTTGAAGTTCTCGAAGCACTGACGGTAAAGGTCAAAGTTTGGTGATGGATCAAGTAAACAAATCAGTGAGTTTCCTATACAGAGTACTGCATCGAATTGTCCGTATCCTGGGAGGTCCTCGCTAAGAGTTAGCCAGTTGGCGTTCTTGATTTCTAGCAAAAAATGATTCAATCAAAATAACGTTTTAAAATTAATATATTATGTATATTTATTCACAGCTAATAAATGAGGAAACGACAAACTGGTCGAATTATGCATTTTTCGAGGCTTTTATCAGGTGGGCTGTATAACGTACAGACCACCTTATAATTTCGTTAGAATTGCCTTTATTTATTATTCTTTATTTTTCTTATTTCTAACCACTTTTTTGTGGACAAGATAACTTGAAAATGGCTGGATCAAATGCCTTGAAATTTGGCACACATATGTATAGGCATATGTACAAAGCACAGAATTTTTTTCAACCTTGACCTTGACTGATGACGTCATCTAGGCGCCATTTTGTAAAATCTTACGAAAATCAACTCATGATCATATCTTCATAACCAAAAGGTATTTCTGATTCATATTTATCATGATCAAGGTCAATATCCGTCCGGTCAATTTAAGGCCAAATAACGCGCGCGTGCGCGTACGTCCGCGCGTCAATGAACGCGTAAAATTTTGAAATGCTCAAAATCGTCTCAAAATCATTTTGCATACGTTTTAGGCCATTCTAAGCATTTTATTAAAAATCGCGCACACGCGCATGCGTGCGCGTTTTTGCGTGTTAAACTATTACACAACATAGAATCGCCATTTTTTTCTTTCATAATATTACACATATTTTTACAAACAAATTGATAGCATGTTTATCTCTTTATGACTATCAATGACAGAATAATCGACCGTTAAACATAAACTTACGTGCGCGCGAGCTCTTGTAATACATAGCATATATGGACAAAAACATGCCTATGCAAAATCCATTGTAGCTCTTTAGGATGCAAGGTGACCCCAATTTTGTTTTCATATTTTGATTAAGTATGAATCGGAGATATGATTTCATGTGTCATTTGACCCTCAATTAACTCATGACGTCATCATAATGGCCTCCGAACTCAAAATTTCAATTTGCATATTATGACGTCAGCATATTTCTGGAAAATTGACTGTATCTCTGTAAATATTGATTGATTTTCTTCCAAATTGTGATATGATCTAGCTGAGACAATTCTCTACAAATGCAGTTATCACAATATTTCATTTTGACAAAGGTATCATGGCGTATTTTGGCGATTAAAGGTGGCATGTCAATTTTTCACATTTTGCGTGTATTCTCTATGGGACATGACTTTTTCTCAAAACTGGATTCTACATCCTGTCTTTTGCGAGCAATATCTCCGTCGTTTCAGCTTTGTTTTCGTTGAACTTTGAGTATGTTGTTTCTACATCCTGTCTTTTGCGAGCAATATCTCCGTCGTTTCAGCTTTGTTTTCGTTGAACTTTGAGTATGTTGTAGCTGAGACAATTATTTTTTGGTCAGTTGTCGGGATCATGCTCATATTTCACTTACAAAGTGGGATTTGTGAATTCTATTTTCCGTTTACGTGTAATCTCTATGGGAAATGTTTTGGTATATCGGTAACGCACTTGACTTCCGACCTCGAGGTCCCTGGTTCGAGTCCGGGCGTCTCCAACAATTTTTTTTTCTTCACTTTTTTTTCTTTTTGACCTTTCACTGTACCATCTCCTTTGAATATTAAAACACGTACAATCGCAAATAATGTAATAAACAACCATATTTACTTTATTATAACCCTATTATCACTTGATCCATTACTTTTTGCGTGTAATCCTTAAGGGAGATGACTTTTTCTCAAATCGGGATGCTACATTCATGTCTTTTGCAAGCAATATCGCCGTTATTTCAGCATGATTTTTGTTGATTTTTGAGTATGTTGTAGCTGAGACTATACGCTATCTAAATGTCCCCTCATTTGTTCAATCAGATGTCATCAATGGTCTGTTGATAATGATCATCAACATCGTCATCACCATTACTATCAAGATCATCATCATCATGATCATCATTGTTTACATGTCTATATAACTTCTCCCTTTTTCAATATAGTAAATATTGAATTAAAGATGAGCATGAACATAGGAATTGAAGACAGACCACCTAATTCGTCCCCATGACGAATTAAATTTCAAGTTTTTGTTTATGTGTTTGTTTTGGAGAACCCCCCTCCCCCCACCCCACCCCCCCCCTTGGTTCTTTGTTTTAATTTTTAATTTTCAAATAAAAAATAAATAAAAGAAACAAATGCTAATGGGTGACCTAAAAAAGGTGACCATACCCCCCCCCCCCTACGGAATGTGAAACGGTAAAATTTTCAAATTTCGGCACCCCCAAAAAAAAAGTGGAAAAAAAAGGAAAATCCAAGCACAAAATCTAATAAAGTTTCCTTGAAATAATTCAGAAAAAAATCAAATGTTGAAAGATTGAACAAAATTCAACAAACAAAGTTAGGAATTTTCAAGAGTTGTTTGTGATATGGTGTAATATTGAAGCCCTAACAAGTTGCGCTTCAAAATGATCATGAAGTGTCTCAAAAACGTAAAAATCTCTGAGTGACCGGTTTTACCATACTCTTTTTCCCAATATAATAATCATAATCCATTATAACTCCCTCCTTGACTACCCAACCCTAATTAAAACCAACTACCATCCGTAATTACTCACTCATTCTCACACGTACACACCAGGGCTCAAATTAAATTTTTGTCCACGGGGGCTCTTCCAAAAAAAATAGCCCCCGTGAACCTTCTCACGGGGGCTCTTTTAGTGCTGACGGGGGCTCTTATTTTAATACAAATTTCCATTGGATGAAACTCCTAAATTCCTTGGTATTTTATCATCATTTATTTAAGTCGGCATTCTCCCTCTTAGAAATTTACTTGTTACATAGCTGTATACTTTTATCCCCGTGATCAGTGGCGGATCCAGGAGGGCGGGGGCCGCCCCACCCCCCCCCCCCCTGGGAAAAAAGAAGGGGAAATAAGGGGAATTTTCTTTTTTCTTTTTTTTGAAAAAAAGAAGTGTTCCTTTCCCACTTGTATCACAGAGAAACAACAGTTTAAGTTATGTCTAACGTTAACGTTAATTTGTTATTAAAATGTAGAGTACAGCCCTTGGCCTTAGGCCTAATTTAGGTCGTAACTGTTTGAAAATCTAAAGTAAAATTAGACGGTTTTCATGGTTAGACCAAGTAATTGAGAAAAAAAGTTTACCCGTCACTGAGACCAGGTCAATCAATCTTCTAGGTCCATTAGGGTCTAACGTTAGTAGATATAAGGTAGATGCAGGCGCGGATCCAACGGGGGTGAGCCCCACCCCCCCCCCCTCCTTTCCGCAAAAGAGAGAGAGAGAGAGAGAGAGAGAAAGAGAGAGAAGGAAAAGAGGGAAAGGGAAAGAGGAGAGAAAGGGAAAGAAAGAAGAGGAGAAGAAAAGAAAAGGGGAAGAAGGAGATTGGGGGGGGGGCGAAAGGGCCTTGCCTCCCAGGCTGTTGCCTCCCCCCAATAAAACAAAATAAGAGAGAAGAAAGGAAGGAAATGAAAAGAAAAAAGGAAAAGAGATAAAGGGAAGGAAAATTGAGGAAGAAGTAAAGAAAAGAAGGGGGATATCATGCAGTTGCAATTTTCCCGCCAACAAGTTGCGGATGGGGGTGGGGCAAAAGGCCTTTGCCTCCCCCGACCCCGCTAAAAAAAAAGAGAGAGAAGGAAGGAAAAGGACAAAAGGAGAGCCAAAAGGGACCAAAAAAGAGGAAGAAGAAAAAAAAGGGTGAAAAGAATTTCGATGCGGTGTTCGAGTAGAATTCTCGTAGCTTGATGCGACGAAGTGTCTCTGTCCAGATATCTGTTGATAGTATTATAGAATATAGAAGCCTGATATGACCTTCTGCTCGTAACCGACAGGTCACCGCATTAAAATTAAATTGCAAAACACGATGGTGGATGAAACTTTCTAATATTCGAAGATATATGACCTTCAGACCATATTGTTTCATTATTTTTTATTCAATCAATCAACGTCAAAGAATTGATTTATCATCGCACTTCAATTTATTATTTCACCTTTTAATGTACTTTCATTCTTATGCATCACGAAAAAACACTGAATTGGATTCTTCAATGATTGTTTTGATTAATTTCCTCCCCTTTCCTTCTCCCTGTTTAATACTGATAAAATTTTCAATATTTCTTAATCAAGGCAAAATATTATTTTCATATTTTTGTTATGCAAGACAGGGAGAGAGAGAGAGAAAATATGTTAAGTGAGAATTATCGAGTACAACTATGAATTGCATCCTTTTCAATATTATTCAATTCGCTGAAAATATTCAGAATATGAATATGATAAATCCACATAATACATCAACGTTGTTCAACGCATCCAACGCTCCAACCATAGCCCATATGCCAATGTACCATATTTTATCAAATATGATATTTAAATATTTAAGATATTTAAATGAAATTTGAAGAAAAATCAAATTTACAATGCACTGACAGGCATCAGTTAGCACTAGTTTCTGAGGGACCAGTCACTGAAGAGGAGATAAAGGGAATGAAAATTGAGGAAGAAGTAAACAAAAGAAGGGGGATATCAGTTGCAATTTTCCCCCCCCCCCCCCCCCCCCTTGGAAAAAAGGGGAGAAAAGGGGGAAAGATTTTATTTTTTTGGAAAAAAGTGTTCCTTTCCCACTTGTATCACAGAGAAACAACAGTTTAAGTTAAGTCTAACGTTAACGTTAATTTGTTATTAAAATGTAGAGTACAGCCCTTGGCCCTAGGCCTAATTTAGGTCGTAACTGTTACTGTTTGAAAATCTAAAGTAAAATTAGACGGTTTTCATGGTTAGACCAAGTAATTGAGAAAAAAAAAGTTTACCCGTCACTGAGACCAGGTCAATCACCTTCTAGATCCATTATTAGGGTCTAACGTTAGTAGATATAAGGTAGATGCAGGCGCGGATCCAGCGGGGGTGAGCGGGCCTTACCACCCCCTCCCCCTCCCCCCCCCCCCTTCCGCAAAAGAGAGAGAGAGAAAGAGAGAGAAGGAAAAGAGGGAAAGGGAAAGAGGAGAGAAAGGGAAAGAAAGAAGAGGAAGAAGAAAAGAAAAGGGGGAAGAAGGAGATCGGGGGGGGGGGGTGAAAGGGCTTTGCCTCCCAGGCTGTTGCCTCCCCCCAATACAACAAAATAAGAGAGAAGAAAGGAAGGAAATGGAAAGAAAAAAGGAAAAGAGGAGATAAAGGGAAGGAAAATTGAGGAAGAAGTAAAGAAAAGAAGGGGGATATCACTTGCAATTTTCCCGCCAACAAGTGGGGGGTGGGGCAAAAGGCCTTTGCCTCCCCCGACCCTGCTAAAAAAAAAAGAGAGAGAAGGAAGGAAAAGGAAAAAAGGAGAGCTAAAAGGGACCAAAAAAGAAGAAGAAAAAAAAGGGTGAAAAGAATTTCGATGCGGTGTTCGAGTAGAATTCTGTGAGATGATGATATACTTTCTCGTAGCTTGATGTGACAAAGTGTCTCTATCCTAATATCTGTTGATAGTATTATAAAATATAGAAGCCTGATATGACCTTCTGCTCGTAACCGACACGTCACCGCATTAAAATTAAATTGCAAATAGTGTTCAACAACACGATGGTGGATGAAACTTTCTAATATTCGAAGATATATGACCCTCAGACCATATTGTTTCATTATTTTTTATTCAATCAATCAACGTCAAAGAATTGATTCATCATCGCTCTTCAATTTATTATTTCACCTTTTAATGTACTTTCATTCTTATGCATCACGAAAAAACACTGAATTGGATTCTTCAATGTTTGTTTTGATTAATATCCTCCCCTTTCTTCTCCCTGTTTAATACTGATAAAATTTCAATATTTCTTAATCAAGGCAATATTATTTTCATATTTTCTTGATGCAAGACAGGGAGAGAGAGAGAGAGAGAGAGAGAGAATATGTTAAGTGAGTATTATCGAGTACAACTATGAATTGCATCATTTTCAATATTATTCAATTCGCTGAAAATCTTTATTTTATAATTCCACGGGGGCGATTTTTAATTTTGCAATCGCCCCCGTGGACAACCTGATGGGGGCTATTATGGAGCTCATGGGGGCGAATCACCCATCGCCCCCGTGTATTTTGAGCGCTGGTACACACCCACACTCACACATACACGTACACAAATACACCACTCACTCAGTCAGTGGCGGATCCAGGGGGGGGCCCGGGGGGCCCGCCCCCCCCCCCCCCCTTGAGAAAAAAATCATGTAAAATCACGTGATTTTTACCTTTTTTGGGGGTTGGGCCCCCCCCTGGCGCTCAAGGGGGGGGGGGGGGTGCAAATCGAAATTTTTTTGAGGATCAAAAAAAAAAAAAATGTGCTCACTTTATTGCCACATTATGATACAGGTATACAAATAAGAAGTGATCAAAACATTGAATATAGAACTCACCCCAGTTTTGAACAGCTTCATTTGAACTTTGATGAGAAATCTTGGCCTGCCTGGCTTGTTTGAGCATAGCCTCGGCACTATCTGAACTGCTAACTTGATAACCATGCTCTAGAAGAAAGAGAGAGTCCCCTCTGTTATCGAGACAGAGTAATACAAAAGACAAAAACTTAGTAATAACAATAAAGAATAACAAAAATAGTAATCATGAGAAAATTATTAAGAATCATAATAATAATGATAATACCGTGTGAATCAATAAAAAGTTTACACTGAGAAAATTGTCATTTATTTTAAAAGTCTGCTATGAACGAAAGGTTATAATACATGTTTCGAAAGAGTGATATATACCGAATAGTTTGGTATAATTCATGTGCTGTATATGTTCACGCTTGGATAAACAGAAGGCATTGTTTGCGAGAGTGCAAAAATCGACTTGTGCAAAAGTATTAGAATGAGAGAATGAATTGAATGTATCAAATGAGATGCATTGCATATGCTTTTTGCAGAAGCACACACACACACACACACGCTCGCGCGCGCGCAAATATTCGTCGATATTTGATATTCGATATCTGTTGCATCATTAATCGTGTAAGGGACGTTATTTGGATCTGTTCATCCAAGCCTGAACGCATACCACACACAAATGACACCAAATGATTTGGGATGAAACACTCTTTCATAAGATGTATAATAATTTACTGTTTACATGGGATTTTTAAAATAAATAGCAATTTTCAAGGTGTAAACCTTTTTATGACTTACACTGTAGTAAGGTCTTGTTTAGCGTTTATGTCCGGCACACTGCCACACGATCCACCAACCCCCGACACCACAATTTAAAAGAGATTAAAAACTACCAAGATGTGTTCAGAATGCAAACTAGATGTGAATTTTGAAATCAAGATAAACTTGAGTTCTGGTCAAGCAATTACATTGTGAAAGAAAGGTGTGGAATGCATCAGAAAAAGTTGATCATGTAGCATGTAAGTATTGGTGTGTACTGCAAGGTTCTGGAGTCATCAAATTCATAACAAATTTGGCTCAGTCCTGGTAAAGTAACAAGCACACTACACAGAAAGATGTATATGGGACAAAACAAATGGTGTCGGGGCTAGTACTACCCTGATTTCCTTATCTTTCTATGCTCATTATTCAACCAGTATACATTTTCTTCCAAAATATTTGGCACATGACATTTATTTGTAATCTTGAACGTTCAGTGTAAGTTTCGTTAGATTCTTTGAGAATTGATTTTCTTTTTTTAACCAGAACTAAAGTTTATCTTTAAGGCATAAAGCATGAAGACAATGCTTATTATGGAAATGGGTATGGGATGAATGTTAGAGAATTGATCACTATGTATGGTGCACAATTATTATTTGTTTAAACAAAAGATAAAGAATGCATTCATGTAAATTAGAAAATGACATAGTTATACATACGAACAAGTCTCTAGAATTTGACTTTCCTGACCAGATTAAGAATATTCAGTGTGAAAAAAGGGAAAAGTCGTATTTGATTTCCGAAGATATTTCGTTAAATGCTTGGATAAAATGTTTATCAAACTTTTGAGTTGACGTGGTGTCAACCACTCATCCCCTCTCTCAATTCTCTCTCTCAATCGAAGTCTTAAAAAAATGTTGTTGTTCCTGTAAAGGTAATATGTGTTTTAACAAGCTGTGCTTTTTTTATAGACCACCTCATTTCCAGCTTTGTTAAAGTCTTTATAACTGTTTTATTGTTAATGAATTTATGCTAGTTGACGACGAACTTGTTGCTACTGTTCCTGAATAAAATGTTTTTTGTATACAAGTGGAAAGAAATAAATAAATCTTGAATCTTGAATCTCTACTTGTTACAAGGGGCTCCCACTCCCACTGCCAATGGCGAATGTGACATTTTGGTAGAAAGAAAAGATACACGTATCATAAGGAAATAGATAGTTTATGGAGTTTATGGAGTTTATGGAGTTGATACATATTCAATAATTTCAGCTTCCGAAATATCGGTTGTGAATGAGTCCTAATATGACTAAACGTTATAACTATTAGTGTCATCTTTTGGCTTAATAATAAACACTTCATGTTTGTTTCATAATTACTTCCCCAAACCTCAACTCCGTATGTCATATGCGGTTGAATTACAGCACAAACCCTGGTCAGTCGTAAAAGAGAGTCTGCACTATAAGACTACCATAGGCCATGTACTGCTGCTCCTAACACATATTGACACAACCAGGGCCCCGTCTTATAAAGAGTTGATATCAATCGTAACTTAATTGCGATTGATATCAATCGTAACTATGTACATAAGAGATAGGAGACTGCAAACTTGCGATTGATTGGAGGGCTTACAATTGATTTGGATCGATCGTAACTCTTTGTAAGACGGGGCCCTGTATAGGTAGCTGGGCAATGCTTGTCTCAAGGCACAATGGTTTTGTCAGATTAGGGTCTGTGTTTCCAGACTAGGATAAGGGCGGCATTTTCATAGAGTTAATACTTTATGCTTAGGCGAATCCAAAGTGAATAATGAAATAAATAAATTAAAATATATAGGGATAAAACACTGGTCTGCGAACCCTTTCCTTTTCAGAACCGCGAGAAGGCCCGAGTGTCTCCGTCTGGGTAAAATAGAACTGAAAACGGGAAATTCATTCCCCACATTCACCCCCTTCGGAGCAATAGACTGGTGGTAGTGGGTACATTTTTTGTTTGGTCCTTAAAAATTTAAAAATGTGCACCCCCCCCCCCCCCTTGAGCGCCAGGGGGGGGGGGGGGGGACGGGGAGGTAAAAAACAAGTGATTTTACATGATTTTTTTCCTCAAGGGGGGGGGGGAGGCAAGGCCCCCCCCCTCCTGGGTCCGCCACTCACACGACTCATGCAATACTAAATTATCACATTAAAGTCCTTATCACATTTAATAGTCAGAGCCTATTCACTTTTTTAATTAAACTATTTTTTATTAAAAAAATCTATATACACATTGCTTTTGGAATTTTGGTACATACATGTATATTTATTAAATAAATAAATATCAATGCAATAAACTTATATCTAATGGTTGTAAGATAAGAACTGTTTCCTTTCAACTTGGCAAATAATTAATATTATTTTGAAAGAGGAAAGGTATCAGTTATCGCAACCAAAACAACATTAAAGGAGGAAAACAATGGAGATCAGTCTTCAGGAGCAAGTCTGATAAGTAAATACTATTCATTTCTATATTTGTTCTTCAATAATGGAAAGAAAACACATTTTTGGCTCAGATTTGATATCCAAATGTATTGAAAAAAATTTACATCACATTAGCGCTCTAGAATTCTGCATGGTCTTCTGAAAAAAAATACTTGAGGATTTACAAGTCGGCGTGTCAAGTTTATGGGCATTCTGACAATTTATCTGAGGGCTCATGATACCTACATTGCTGGTCGATCTCGTGGGCTGTCTTATAAATAATACTAGCTAAATCACAAGCAGTTTAATTAAAGGTTTCCTTGAAATATCATTCACAAATTTTTTTTTTTCGTCAAAAGGGCCTCTTTTTTTGGACGACCCCTCTGATTAAGGGGTGTTCGCTACATATAAAACAAAAAACACCTCTGAAATATTGGGTATTATGATAACATCTTTCGATTGAACAAGGTGTGCTTAGTTTGTGTGGTAGTGACAGGCCACTTAAAAACTCAGTAAGCATGATATTTGACTTTTTTTAATTTTTTTAATTTTTTATTTATTTATTTTCCACATATGGGAAGGATCACCCTTTTCAGCTAAAAGCTGGTCTTCAAAGGGGTCCATCCACAAGATAAAAATACAAATTGTTGATAAAATACATTTGAAATATGATTACAATGATAAACAAGCAAACAAAACAAAAACACATTATTATATATACATTAAGAAAAACAGAAATGTGCAGGATAGGGGAAAGAAAGAAACAAGGAATAGAGAGGCGAGAGAGAAACCAAATATAAAATTGTTGCGTATAAAACAATCAAAACATAATAAAACAAATCATCTGATGGGGTTACTCTGAAGGAAGTGTTTAAATGCTTGAATTGAGACTATTGATTGAGCGATGGTACTAAGTGAATTCCACAGCTTTGAACCCCGATAGACAAGTGATCGTTTACCGTTATTAGTTTTGGGTTGGGAAAGTTTTAATTTACGTGGGCCAGATCTTGTATTATATTTTGATTGGTGGAAAGAAAAATATTGCTAAGATAGGTTGGGCAGAGTTGGTGAATTGATCGGTACATGATACAAGCTAGGTGTTTTGACCATCGCTCGTTCAGACGGTCTAGTTTAAGTAATCGGTATAAATCATTAGAAGGAAACAAATAATGCACTTTTAACACTGTACGGAGAGCTCTATTTTGTAGAATTTGTAATTTTCCAAGATATGTTTTAGAGGCATTTGTCCAAACAGGACTGCAGTAATCAAAATGGCTTTGCAATATGGTTTTGTAGAACAACAGTGCCGTATTTTGGTTAATGTATGGTCGGAGTCTTCTCAGAAGATAAATATATTTTATAACTTTTTTCTTAACATATTCAACGTGATTTTTCCACTTTGGCCCTCCGCTTATGATCTGAAAACAAGATCACAGATCAGTGCGGCGCGATTCGGTTTACGAAATCATCATAATCAATAATACTTATCATGTGGATGGAAATAGACTATTTTCTACCACGCACTAGCACCAAGAAATTTTAAGAGATAGAGTCCTATCTAGCTCATTCCCTTTGTACCATCTTCGATGCCGCCAGGAGAAAATATGTCAGGCATGTGCTTAACTGGACCTTCCTTGCAGATACGTAGACACAAGATTCCTGCCTAGCTGCAAACTATCGGGTGACTTTCAAAGGGAAATATGCTTTTGTAATGCCAATTACTTTTCGCTACCACTCGTCTGATAATACGAGCAGTACAATGGAGCAAGTTTTCTGAAATATTAATCAAAATTACTCGACTGGGCTTGTGTGGGCACTAATCTGACATATAACATCATAAAAAACTGTACACGAACAAATCGGGAAAGTGTCAAATTACTGGTTTTAGGTCTGACTGTAGATTTTGACTATTTTTCACAGATTAAAGCTGCTATCATACAATGTAAGCAAATTTCGTGACACAATTAGGATTTTATAATCATATTTTATCATCTGTTATATTTTCCCCTTTTTAGTTAAAATAAAAAGTGAAATATTAAAGGTAATACAAAGTTTTGGTATGGGGTCATGAATTTGGTTCAAATGAACATATTGGAAGCATATACGATCCTACAATATTCAGTGATCGGTGTCGCGGTCGAAATCGACTCTAAAGTTATGAAATTGTAAATAATAAACACTTTATATTGAATAGCTCCCTCTCAAGGTCAAGTTATTAATTAAGCTATAAAACAATGTTTATTGACTAAAATTGACTGATTAGCTATTCTCGTTCGAAAATTATATACCACAACTACATACTCTGAGATTTTCATGGTCACAGCTACCATTGTACGGCCGTAGGAGCTATTTGAAATTTATCAAAATTTACCGGGAGCACCGGTAAATCTTTATATTCAATTTTTCTCGAAAGCAGAAGTGTTTTAGGGGCTAAAATTTCTGGTGTTTTTAATACATCCACAGTGGCATCCAAATATATTAAAATTGTAAAGAATCACTATCCACCCATTTTTCAAAATTTCCCAAAACTTTGTAATACCTTTAAGGATATATCTTTGTGACAATTATCACTACTCAAGCTTTCCAATGATATTGGCGGCTTCGAACCTCGGACATCAAAGGTAACAGCACACCAGCAGATTGTATTGTGCAACCATAGAAAACGGCAGATGCTTGGAATAATTTGTTGTCTGTTAGGGCTCCAGCTCTCAAAACTCCTTGCTAGTAATGGACATGAATATTCTTATGTTGGCATAACGGGGAAGAACACGGTAGGAGAGGATCGATGGAAGAGCACAAAGAGCCCTTTAGATTCAACGACCCTTCTCATTCCAAATACTGTTATATAACATTTGAAAGACACTATAGATTAACGATTCTTTGAATAGGGTCTCTGGCTCTCTGCCATGGTGTCTTGCTATTCGTTCGCTCCAGTGATCTCGAACAGCAGGCAGCTATAAACATCTACACATGTACTTAGCGAAGAATGCGGGTTCGTATCGAAACCAAGCACGTACTCTTGTTGTTGCTGTTGTTTTTTTGGTTCATAGGCGGTCGGCTTTGGTAATTTTGATCCTTATAGACCATTCTCGTAATGTTATCAACTTGAATACAACAATCTTTGTTAATTATATAATAGGCTACCTGTTACAAATAATTGTATTTCATTATAGTCAGAATGCGAGTTGCATACATTAATTGTCACTTACCCAGTACCGCAAGCAGCGTCCAGCACACGGCGACAATTACGAGTTTGAAGCTGGTCAAGCAGCCATTGTTTGAAACCATCTGACCTCTCAGCTAACACCCCAAATCGTCGAACAACATTGTCGTCATCACATGCGTTAGAAGTGTTGTCCGATTGAGACATGGTTAAAATAATGTTCAAATAACGATAAGCGATGGACAGATCAAGCGCCGACTCAAGAAACGCAAACACAATACTCTGGCGTTATGTAATGGGGGCTTGACCATGCAGTCGAGGGTGTAGCCTTTATCAAGACGTTTCATGTATAGTGACGGGGCGGTTATTAGACAACTACGATACTGATAATTAATTAGAAGCTCAAGTAAGGGTAAATCCTACCATAAGCTTGTAGAACTGTAGAATCTATATCTCGAAGACTCGACGGTGGAGCTCCACGAAGCTACGTTGAGATCCGAGACTCAGAGGAACACAGCAAACTGCATGTCGCGCGGCTGCAGTTCCAGTCTAAATCTGACATACCCAGTATCGGGCATGACCATAGTCTCTTGTCGATGCCCTCGCGCTGTTCATGTGTTGGCTTTCATCGAAAGGGTGCGGGGCGGTGCGGCGCGGTGTGGTGTGCTCAACGCACCCATTCGATAAAAGAGGGAGGGCTTTTCTCGAAAGGGTGCGTTGTGAGCGGAGTACCGTTTTAACACACCCTTTCGATAAAAGCGGGGGGGGGGGGGGGGGGAGGGGGGTTTTCTCGAAAGGGTGCGTCGACTAGTCTTTCGCATCAGTCGTTTAAAATGAGGATCTGGGACAGAAGGTAATAGTTGCCAATTTAAGTATATCAAAAATGTATTAAATAAAATGGAATGGTCTTGATTACAGAGTGGTCTCTTTCGTTATTACTATGTTGATGGGGGAGACAGAGAGAAGGAAAAAAGGGAAAGGGAAAGGAAAGATAAAAGGAAAGAAAGAAGAATAAGAAGAAAAGAGGGAAACGGGGGGGGGGGGGACGAAGGGCTCTTGCCTCTTCCTCATCCCCCCCCCCCCCGCCTAAAAATAAATAAGTGAGAGAGAGAAGGGAAAGGGAAAGGGAAAGAAAATATAAAAGGAAAGAAAGAAGAGGAAGAAGGAAAGAGGGAAACGGGGGAAGGGCGAAAGGCTCTTGCCCCCCCCCCCGCCAAAAAATAAATAAGAGAGAGATGTGAAAGCGAAAGGGAAAGAGAATATAAAAGGAAAGAAAGAAGAGGAAGAAGAATAAGAAGAAAAGAGGGAAACGGGGGCGAAGGGCTCTTGCCTCCTCCCCCCCCCCCCCCCCGCCAAAAAATAAATAAGTGAGAGAGAGAAGGGAAAGGGAAAGGGAAAGAAAATATAAAAGGAAAGAAAGAAGAGGAAGAAGGAAAGAGGGAAACGGGGGAAGGGCGAAAGGCTCTTGCCCCCCCCCCCGCCAAAAAATAAATAAGAGAGAGATGTGAAAGCGAAAGGGAAAGAGAATATAAAAGGAAAGAAAGAAGAGGAAGAAGAATAAGAAGAAAAGAGGGAAACGGGGGCGAAGGGCTCTTGCCTCCTCCCCCCCCCCCCCCGCCAAAAAATAAATAAGAGAGAGAGAGAGAGAGATTGGAAAGCGAAAGGGAAAAAGAAGATAAAAGGAAAGTGCTCTCTTGTAATTTCGCGACTACTCCGGAACCGCGGCAGATATAAAGTTTTTCTTTCATGCCTTTTTTCTTTCGAGTCTTACGCATCTTTTGAAACATTTTTTTGTTGAAAATTGGACGTATAGATAAAAGGAAAGAAAGAAGGGAAAGGGAAGATAAAAGGAAAGAAAGAAGAATAAGAAGAAAAGAGGGAAACGGGGGGGGGGCGAAGGGCTCTTGCCTCCTCCTCACCCCCCCCCCCTGCCAAAAATATAAATAAGAGAGAGAGAGAGAGAGAGAGAGAGAGAGAGAATGGAAAGGGAAAGGGAAAGAGAATATAAAAGGAAAGAAAGAAGAGGAAGAAGAATAAGAAGAAAAGAGGGAAACGGGGGCGAAGGGCTGTTGCCTCCTCCCCCCCCCCGCCAAAAAATAAACAAGAGAGAGAGAGAGAGAAGGAAAGGGAAAGAGAAGATAAAAGGAAAGAAAGAAGAGGAAGAAGAAGAAACTGGAGGGAAACGGGGGCAAAGGGTTCTTGCCTCCTTTTTTCTTTCTCTTCCTTTCTTTCCTATTCTCCCTCTTTTTCGTTTTTCTCTTTCTTTCTTTTTCTTTTTCCTTTCCCTCTCTTTTTCCCCTCCCCTTTTCTCTTTTTTCCCGACGGCAGCGCAATTTTACCGACAATATCCTGACAGGTGGGAGGGGGGGGGGGGTGTCGCACCCCCACACCCCCCTTTGGAGACGCCCCTACCTACGCCACTGTTGGCGACCACAAGGCTATCAATACAAATTAAGACATATTAATGAAGATTCTTGTTTAATGTTGCAGAGAGATAAGTATTTTCTCTATGAACTTGTTTAATGGAAGGATAATAAATAATATTAAAAACATGAATACTATAGCGGTATAATGATGAGAGAGATGATTTAAGTCATACTTTTTTTCAATGTGATTGGAGTAGACTTGAGGGTGGGGGGGGGGGGTCCCCCCCTAAGATCTCGGCCGTTTCACAACCGATCGCCGCGAAAATGTGCATGCATGTCAAGTGAAGTGTATAAAAAACTATGGTAATTTCAATTTTTTGAAAAATTCACTCATTTGCATATTTATGGTAATTTATGCAAACAAGGTCAGAGAATTCACATTTTTACCCATAAATCATATATAATTCATATTCAAGCGTTCTTTTTCACTACATATATTCGTTAGATAATTTGTATTTATGTATTATATTGTTTTTGTTGTTTTTATTTCATTTCGTACCACAATTCAACTATTTTAACCGCAAATCAAACACATTAACTTGAAAACAAGAACAAATAACCAATGTTTTCTCTTTTTTTAAAAGAATAAATGGTATTTCCATATGTTTGGTACATAAATCACAAAAATGAGCGATTTTAGGGCTGACATGCAAAAACAAAAGGTCACGTGACTCCGCAACTATACGTCCAATTTTCAACAAAAAAATGTTTCAAAAGATGCGTAAGACTCGAAATAAAAAAGTCATGAAAGAAAAACTTTATATCTGCCGCGGTTCCGGAGTAGTCGCGAAATTACTAGAGAGCACTAATTTTTTTGGGGGGCCCTCGAAAATTTGAAAAATCGTACCCCCCCCCCCCCTTAAACGCCAGGGAGGGGGGGCCTATCTCCCCAAAACGGTAAAATTAACGTGTTTTTTTTTACACGTTTTTTTCACAGGGCGGAGCCCTCAGAAGCTCAGGGGTATTAAACATCAAAATTAATGTCGGATGAGCATAATTTTATACCTTATTTGTGACAGTGGCAGGACACAATTTGGTGTTGGGTCCAGGGGGCGGAGCCCCCAGAAGCTCAGAAGTTTTGTACATTAAATTATTATTATTTTATACCTTATTTGTGACACAGGGGTCACGAATTGGCGTGGGGTCAAGGGGGTGGATCCCCGAAAGCTCAGGGGTTTTGGGCAATAAATAACGGTCAGATGAGCATATTTTTATATCTATTTGTGACACTGGCAGGACACAAATTGGTGTTGGATCCAAAGGGGGAGCCTCAAGAAGGTGAGGGGTTTTATACATCAAATTATCGTCAGATGAGCATATTTTTATATCTATTTGTGACACTGGCAGGACACATATTCTCCTTCCTCTTCTTTCTTTCCTTTTATCTTCTCTTTCCCTTTCCTTCTCTCTCTCTCTCTCTCTCTCTCTCTCTTATTAATTTTTGCGGTGGGGGGGGGGGGGAGGGAGGAGGCAAGAGCCCTTCGCCCCCGTTTCCCTCTTTTCTTATTCTTTTTCCTCTTCTTTCTTTCCGTTTAGATTTTCTTTCCCTTTCCCTTCTCTCTCTCTCTGATTTATTTTTTGGCGGGAGGGGGGGGGGAGGCAAGAGTCCTCCGCCCTTCCCCCGTTTCCCTCTTTTCTTCTTCTTCCTCTTCTTTCTTTCCTTTTATATTTTCTTTCCCTTTCCCTTCTCTCTCTCTCTCTCTGATTTATTTTTTGGCGGGAGGGGGGAGGCAAGAGCCTTTCGCCCCCGTTTCCCTCTTTTCTTCTTCTTCTTCCTCTTCTTTCTTTCCTTTTATCTTCTCTTTCCCTTTCCCTTTCCCTTCTCTCTCTATCTCTTATTTATTTTTTGGCGGGGGGTGGGGAGGGAGGAGGCAAGAGCCCTTCGCCCTTCCCACGTTTCCTTCTTATTCCTCTTCTTTCTTTCCTTTTATATTTTCTATCCCTTTCCCTTCTCTCTCTCTCTCTCTCTTATTTATTTTTGGCGGGGTTGGGGGGAAGGAGGCAAGAGCCTTTCGCCCTTCCCCCGTTTCCCTCTTTCCTTCTTCCTCTTCTTTCTTTCCTTTTATATTTTCTTTCCCTTTCCCTTTCCCTTCTCTCTCTCTCTTATTTATTTTTTGGCGGGGGGGGGGGGGGGGGGGGGGGTGAGGAGGAGGCCAGAGCCCTTCGCCCCCCCCCCCCCCGTTTCTCTCTTTTCTTCTTATTCTTCTTTCTTTCCTTTTATCTTCCCTTTCCCTTTCCCTTTTTTCCTTCTCTCTGTCTCCCCCATCAACATAGTAATAACGAAAGAGACCACTCTGTAGTCAAGACGGCGTTAATATTCATAATTGAATGACACACGCCCTTAATACTAAAACAACAACAACAACAACAACCATTCCATTTTATTTAATACATTTTTGATATACTTAAATTGGCAACTATTACCTTCTGTCCCAGATCCTCATTTTAAACGACTGATGCGAAAGACTAGTCGACGCACCCTTTCGAGAAAACCCCCCTCCCCCCCCCCCCCCCCCGCTTCTATCGAAAGGGTGTGTTAAAACGGTACTCCGCTCTCAACGCACCCTTTCGAGAAAAGCCCTCCCTCTTTTATCGAATGGGTGCGTTGAGCACACCACACCGCGCCGCACCGCACCGCACCCTTTCGAAGCGAGTCAGAGAAACCGAGGCGCTTGCGCGGCAGGCCTCTTGACAAGTGATCTGAATTATATATTCATGAGACCCGATTTCCTACTGAATTATGCATGTCTAGACCGCAGCGATTGTGTGTGTGTGTACGTGTGTGTTCGGGATTGCCCAACTAGGCTAGTCTGCAAGCACAGACCCTAATTTGACACTTTATCAGAAAATCATTGTGCCTTGAGAGAAGCCTAGCCCAGCTATCTACTGGTACCTACTGGTTGTACCAATATAGGTCAGGAGCAGCTATAGTACGTGGCATATGGTAGTCTTATAGTGCACACTCTCTTTTACAACTGACCAGGGTTTGTGCTTGCGCACAGAGCGGTGGATATTACGTCATAGTAGCTCTCTCTGATTGGATGACTTTCACCGAACTCTGCTGGGTCGGAATATTCGCCAAACAGAGTAAAACATAAAAAATTAAGATCACTTGTCAAGAGTAAGCCTGAGTCATTACGGTTTTTGTGCTAAACGGATAACCGTTAAA